ATCGTTCAGTCATACTCTGATAACGTTTATACCGATCACCAATTGCCGGTGCGGTAGAAGCACTAATTGAGCCAGTTACGATTTAATTATTCCAACGGTTTGACCACGTAATTAGGCGATATTCTTAAGATTATCTCCAGAATATAAAAAACGAGTGCATTGTACGCGCGCGAGTGCACAGTGTACGTATATCGTTAAAAAAACATATTAAATTAAAAATATTTTCCAATAATTCCAAAATTTAACCATTAAAATTAAATCTCGACAACTACGTACTACCTAGCGCTTTAACAAAATTTAGTACAGGAATATTCCTCAATTAATTCGATTTATAGTTAATCTCGGAATTAGACGAAAGATATCTATTAGGCTTCGATTTGACCGGAAACTTATCGGAATTGCTTCTCGATCTTCCGCAATATATATACACATCGAGATAAATCTTCCATGCATTTTTTCGCGCGAATCATTCGTCATAGTGAATAATGATTAATAACGAGTTCCGCGCTTTATAGTTAACGATAATAAAGTGCGCCGCGCTAACTAGCAGCGTGCTCCCATTACCAAGTGTTCCGAGATCCAGCGCCGTAACGATGGCCAGTTTAATTAATTCATTACACGCGCTCACTCGTTCTCAGTCTTTCCTTTTTCTAGTAGATACGGAAATCCGAATCGCCCATTGCGCTCTGAAAATTCCTTATAAGATTGCTACAAGCGCAGGATTTTCATATATGATAAATCACACATCATTGAAGTCTCTCTACTAGAATTTTAATTTTAATTGCAATTATCAAATTACGAGTAAAAAAGTAGCATCACATGCGCAAAATAATGTCACACATATGTGTAAAATAATATATTATGTTATATGTAATTAATAATTTTCGTCACACATCGAAAAAACCCCCAATTAAATCGATAATAAAAATAAATAAAAATAAGAAATGACAAGGATCTTACTATTTGACGATTATTCGAATTAGTGAAAAACTCAATGTTTATCAAATTAATTCTACAAGGATTTCCATTCGAAACGCAAAATAACACATTGCGAAGAGTATTAAATGATTTTCCTGCGCTTTTAACATTAACGGGTTTTTATTATAATGAGACCATATTTTATTCCAGGTGAGAATTATGCAGAATTAAAATTCCATAATTATAAAAATATTCGGACTATTACGCAAGATATCTCTCAAATAATAGAGAGAATAACAGGATGAATTGTGTAATTAATGAATTAGTTCGCACTAGCACTCTGCGCTCATAATAGTCTGCTTTCATAGCGAGAGAGAGTTTTATACTTATTTTTAAATAAGTTACATCCTCTGGGAATTTAAATCTCAAATATTCTTTGCTTTATGCTCACAAGTATAATGGTATATTTTACTCGATATTACTCATCGGTATTTCTATTGATCACGTAATATTTTTTCCCATGCCGGGGGGGCTCGCCAAGCCATTTTTCACGCGACGAAGGAAGGAAACGAGCGTCCGAACGGCGCGATATCCTCGTTTATCGGAAAAGAGCACGTTTACGTATTTACGCGAAAACAATCAGATCGTGAGTGAAAGGTCCGCGTGTTGTTCCTTTCGTCGACCTCGAACGTCGGGAACGCGCATTATAGCCGCATACTGGCGATGTAGGTGATACGGCTATCACGAACCCTTTGTAATCCGGAAGTCTCGCGATATCGTGGCGGCGAGCGTGAAAAACGTGAAAGGTGAGCCAGATTTTCCCAGATTTTATGCCTATAATAGTCGCGCGTGTTTAGGCGAACGAAGTCGGAAGTCGATCCCATGAGATATGGTGAAGAAATCTATCCGCTAATTACACGAGACTCGTGTAATTAAAACTAGGTTAAATAGTTTCGCGTATTTAGGTAAGTGTTCCCAGCGTGTAAAAAAAAATTTTGCAAGCAACGACAATTAAAATCTTAGAGAAAAAACTAGCTTTGTAAATTTTATTCACGTGGGATTATTAGAGAAAACGAATATTCTTTATTATAATATATTCGCGCTTCGTCCTTTATGAATATTCTTTTGAACGACACCCGCGCTGTCTCTCGCAATATTATTGGCCTTGATACATCGTGGCTTTCTCGATACAAAATTATTATTTTTAAATAAAATGTTTGTGCGTGTAGCCTGTTTCATGTCGACTCTTCCCAGTCGAGTGTTGAATGTGAAAAGGCATCTTCAAATTCTTTCTCGACTGCTCGAGCGATTAACATCGCGAACACGCGATGTTTCTTCCGTTCGACAATCGAATGATATGTCTTACGTTGAAGATTCAACCTACTTTGCTTCTATTTGTTCGCGTTCCTGTCCAGGATTACGAATTGCACCGCTGCAATCACGCCGCGCATGATGCACGATACGCGTTCGCGGGAAATCGTGCGAGATGTGGGCGTGTTAACATGACCAAACTCGTGAGACCGGGAAAAACTCGGAAAGTCCGGCCGCAATGCTGTGAGATGTTGAAACGGAAATGCGGCGCAAAACATACTGTGTGTATGTGTAGTAAACAGTCATTATCGTCCATATGTATATAATGCATGCATGGTACATCGACCTGTCGAGAAAAACGGCGTAAAGAAAAATTGATTTTTAACCGATAAGAAAAATCAACGATACGCAAATATATACTTCGAATATAATTGAGATATTAAAAATATTTCATAAATTATACATATATAGGAGGAGAGAAATAATATACATCTCTTATTTAATTTTTTCGAAATTATTTTATAGAATTGAAAGAGATTGTAAAATCGAGATTCGCTTAATTAAAAAATTTTGTCGTAAATATATAAAATTATTTTTTTAAAAAATTACAAAAGGGCCTCTGGCTGTCGAAAGGTTATTGGGCCAATTGGCGATATGCGATTGCAAGACCTTAACGATAGCCATGGAAAATCGCTGCGTGCAAGAAAAGTCGGTGTAACCAGCGCTCGAGAACGCCTCGTTGAACGTACCCAAGCCCATAGAACGAACCCGTTACGAGTCAACGGCCGGAGTGTTACGCGCGATACGTGTCTTCGGCCCGATCTCGCTATCGATAGCCACGCACCTTACGGTGCACGAATTCCTGTGGCTTTTGATCGTGACAGCTATTCCAGCTGATGTGTCTCAATTAAAATTTACTATTCGAAATTTTACGTGCCCAGTTCAAAAATTTACCTATTGTGATTATTATTAATAGTACGAATAAAAAATCCGGAAATCGAAAACAGATTGCACGGCGCGAAGAGAAATTACATAAAATTGTTGATTCGTATTTATAAATTTAATTAGAAGAGAAAAAAGAATAAGGCTCCCAATATTTAATCTCTCTGCTTGACTTATCCGAACCTGTTTCTACTACGTAAGAAGTATTTTTTAGTAGATATTTTACGTAATTATATTATGCACCAAGTTATCATTAAAAAATTGAACTGTTTGATTTCTCTTAAAGTTCGATTACGGGGAACTTTTCGGATCAGAATTTATGCAACTATGATAACGATCGATTTCGATATCATTAAATGCTTTCTAAAAACTCTCTAAACTTTATAGTTTAATATATCAATCAAAATATTTTATTTTATATTTGTGTAAAATAAATTTAAACTATTCTGTTGTAAATTTTCAAAAAAATGTAGAAAAATTTAGTTAACTCAGATAACAAATAATATTCGCGCATCTAAGTGTTAAATGTCTTTCGATATCGATTATAATGCGAAGTATCATAGTGATTTCTCTTCTCGCAGGTTCTGTAGGTTCATTGTCGCACGATCTAACGAATGATTTCCTTCGCTCGTATATGGAGAGAAATGGATCATGCTCGTCGTTACCGTGACGATTGACCGTGTATGGCATAATAAACTCGCAAAGAAAACGCAACGCCTTCTAAGAAATCTAACTACTCTATAATTTCGCGATTGTACGAGTAAATCAATTTAGAAAAGAATATATGTATAACGTTTACGCCAAATGTTTACAGATGAAGGCGAAAGATTTTCCGACGCTAATATTACGTGGAATTTTCACCGGCTCAAAGTTAATAGAACGTTACAAGAAAAAATAAAACACGGAATCGCATGCTCCGTTTCTTCGAATACACAGACGAAAGCGGGAAAATAAGAGAATATAATGCTGACAGTGAGCGAGAATGGCCGGATGGTATTTCGCGTTTGTGAAATGGCCTGTCCCAAGGCTCCACGAAGGGAGGCGCGAAAGGCATTATAATGAAAAGCGACATAATTGCGAGAATGCACAAGCCGAGTTGCGACACGTTTCGAAATCACACATGTACTCACGCGCGCCCAAAGGAATTGGCGCTTTCTCTAAGAGGATGCGCTCCCTACATTTATCTGTGTTATGACATGTGTTATAATGACATCCATAGTATTCGCAGAACTTTGTAGTCTGTATATACAAATAATATATTATTTTCATCTTTTATAAACTATTAAAATTATTATCGATTTTTTTTCGGTAACGTTTTTCAGCATTTATCGGTTTGAATTCTGCTCTGTCACATTTCGCAATCAGTATAAATCTTTTTGTTTTTTCAGAATATTTTTATAAACACCGTAATATATTAAGAAATGGATTTAAAAATTCATTTTTATTGAACATCTTTTTACATTTATTCGTTTAATTCTCTCTTTCGCGAGCAATTTTCCTTTATAGTTATATAATTGCCTTTAAGATTTAAATGTTTCGTATTTATATGAAAATTTAATAAAATATATATATTCATCGGTTTATCTATTTCGTGAGATCTACTAGTTGCGAGAGATTCTCTTTCTGATTTTTGTTCTCCTTGTTTCTCTAAGAGGATGCGTTCTCTGCATCTGTATTATGACATGTGTTATAATAACATCCATGCTACTCGCAGAATTAGAGTCTCTACGTAAAAATAATAAATATATATAATTTTCGCCTTTCATAAATTATTAAAATAAAAATTATTATAAAATTATTAAAATTATTTTTTATATTTCAATATTCAGATGCAATTCCGAAGGAGTTGTTGCTGCTGCTGGCGAGCGCGCTCGTCGCCGCGGCGACAACGTCTTCCTGCCCATGGGCGCAACACGTGGTGGATCTCGAGAGCTCGTGCATCTGCGACAACAATCTAGCTGGAGAGCTCTCGGTACAGTGCGACATCGTCGATTATGAGCAGCTATTGTCGACGATGCGACGTTATGCCACCAAGACATCGATCGATCTCTTCTATATCAACAACAGTACGATCGGCGTCCTGAGGAACGACTCGTTCACCAATCTGAGAATTAACAACATGCAGCTGTCCGGTTGTCGCATCATGAGCATCGAGCCGGAAGCTTTCAAGGGTCAGGAGCACTATATGAAAAGTTTGAATCTTAAGGATAACGAGCTCACGGAGATCCCCGCCGCCACTTTAAAGACTCTGAAGAATCTCACCGTGCTCGACCTCTCGATGAACAAGATTACGAGGGTCAACGACAACGCCTTCGTCGGCACCAAGCTGATCACGCTGAAGCTCTCCGACAACGAGGTCACTCTCGCCCCGGGATCGTTCCGCGGCTTGGAGAGGACGCTGAAGAATCTCAACCTCAAGGGAACGCGACAGAAGAAGGTACCGGAGGCGCTCAGAGGTCTGAAGACCCTGGCCTTTCTCGATCTATCGCAGAACAGTATACGCGAACTTCCGGGCACATCCGGAACCAAAGCTTTCGACGGTCTCGATTCCCTCACGGGATTGAATCTCGAAAGAAATCTGATTCAGAATATCGGCCCGGAGGCGTTTTACGGTATCAGGAATACTCTGAGCTCCCTGAGCCTGCTNNAGCGGCTATCAACAGCGTCCATGACCTGAGAGTAAGTAATAAAAAATTGTAGAAAATCCTAAAATCCGGGGAGTTTTTAAATTTCAAAGACAAATTACGCAAAAAATTATAAATTAATAAGGCTTAGTAGTCTTCTCTTCATCAGTTCAAAAATATAAAAGGTGGTTGGCATTTTTTCCGTAGTTATCTCAATTATCTTGACTATCTCGATTTACTAGCATACTTCTTTTTAAGGGTAGTAACTGCTTGTACTGACTATTTCTTTTTGACGGTAGCGATCAAGCTATATTATTTCCTTTGAAATGATTGAGCTATTCTCCAGGTGCTGGACATCGGATTCAATTTGATCACCGAACTACCGGTCAACGCCTTTCAAGGGAACCCGTCAATCACGCTGCTGGCGATCGATGGTAACCCGTTGTCCACGGTACCGGAAGAAGCGCTCGCTCGGCTAAACGGTACCCTGCGCGGCCTAAGCCTGGGCGGACGATTCCTTATCTGCGATTGTCGGCTACGATGGATCGTCGATTGGATCAAGACACGAGATCTGCAGGTCACCAGTCGCGAACGCAAGCCGCAGTTCTGCGGTAGTCCGCAGCATTTGCAGGACAAACGCTTTTACAATATCGATCCTAACGGTAAATCCTGCGCGCGATGTTCGCTTGAAATTTGACAGATTTTCTCAAGTCCTGAGAATTTAATTTTCTCTTATTATATATTATACATATATAAAAAATATATATTATAACATATAAAATATGTATAACATATAAAAATATATTATATATAAATATATTTTATATTATATAACTTTTATATTATGCATGCTTAGTAAAGTATTCTCAATAAATTGTAACGAGACAAGCTACTCGAGATTCGCGAATTAAAAAACATACCAAGTTAAAAAAGATTTCATTAATTTAAATCTAAAAAGAGTATATAAAAAGCTTTATAATAAATTACGATAAATATTAAAATATTCTTCAATAATATAATAAAATATAATAATATAGTATATTTTTAATTTGCTCTGCGGGAAGATTTAACTTTTAATTCAAATCATAATTTATTTAGGGTGTGAAATTTTTATCCAAGTTACTTTTCGATTTCGCAGGAGCGGACGATTCCTTATCTGCGATTGTCGGCTACGATGGATCGTCGATTGGATCAAGACACGAGATCTGCAGGTCACCAGTCGCGAACGCAAGCCGCAGTTCTGCGGTAGTCCGCAGCATTTGCAGGACAAACGCTTTTACAATATCGATCCTAACGGTAAATCCTGCGCGCGATGTTCGCTTGAAATTTGACAGATTTTCTCAAGTCCTGAGAATTTAATTTTCTCTTAAATCTCTCTAAGGATAAATAAAATTTTATTCTTCTAATTAAAACAAAAATGAGTTAAAAATTGAACAGGCTATAATTTTTTTTAGTTTGGGAAATTAATTAATTTAACAGGAAAATTTACAATATTCTTAATCCAGAAAATTTAATTTTCTTAATGCACAGAAAATTAAATTATTCCAATTTTAAAATTGACTTTAATTTATATAAATAATATATATACAAAGCAAAAAGTCAACTCTAAGAAAATTAATACTCAATGTAAAGAAATATTACATATATTTAAAGGATTATAAAAATCAATTACAGACATGAGTTGCGAGCAAATACCTGAGATAATCGGAATCGGAACGGTAGAGAGCGTGGAGACTAAAGAGCCAACGGAAATGGTAGCTGATGGAGATGTCAGTAGCCATCTTCCAACTGTTCGATCTAGTATTTCCACTACCGAGCTAATCACCAGTACATTGTCTACAACCACGATGACAGTATTGTCGACCGAGCAGAAGAGAACGATACCATCCTCGACCTTCGTCCCAACGACTCGACCGACCGTTGCGCGAACCGGAAACGTCGTGGTCGTGAGAACTACCCCGTCGCCGCCGAAGCAGTTGCAAGAACAAATGCAACAACATCAACCGAGACCGCCATTGGTCTTGGGATCGCCGTTGTACAAAGCAAAATCGAATGAAAATATTATTGTAAAGGATGTTCTTAGACAAGATAACGCTGTCATCATATATTGGGATACTGAAGCGACTAACATTCTGGGCTTTAGAGTGATCTATCGTTTGTTCGGAGATAACAGTTTCAAACAGGCACCACCGCTTGAAGCCAGCGAACGAGAGTTCAAGATCAAGAACGTGCCCTTACAGGTAGAAAATATGTCTTATTATCAAGAAATTGATATTCAAACAAATGATGGAAAAATGAAATGGTGGAAAAATCGATATCTTTATTAAGATTTAAACGCGCGCGGCTATTTTAGGAATGCATCGTGGTTTGCGTGGTCTCGCTGGAAGAGACCAACATTACGCCAGCGAATGTGCCGTACAATCAATGCCGGGAGGTCAGGACGGAGAACTCGCCGACCTCGAACATGGACAAGATCACGATAGCTGCGAGCGCGGCGATCTGTGCCACGATCGTCGTCGCGGTTATCATCTTCGTGGTAGCGAATCGACGCCGCGCCCGGAAGCTGCACACCCTGCACAACATCGATCAGACGAAGATGGGTGGTCCGATCGCCGGTCTGCCGGTCAACTGTTGCTCGAACGTGGGTCCAACGCCCAGCCCCGGCGGACCGTTGTCGTCGATGGCCACTCTGAGCGCTTACAATGCCCAAAAAGAGTGGGACCAAGTGTCGGCCTATAGTAACAGAAGTATACCGCGGCCGAGGATCTTCCCTATTGATCGACAAGGTGATCTATATAGAATTTACAGTCTCTACTTTATTTCTTTTTTAATTTTTAAAATGATTTATCGGTCGTATTTATTTATTGTATGATCCTTCTTAAGATAAAAATATAAGTGAACAAGTACTTTTGTGTGCATGGTAGTATAGATTGCCAATCATCTTGTTCTAAGGTGTAAGTGACGCGAAATGGATTTCAGGATCGATCACCAGGGCGTCCTGCATCGACGACGTGCGCTCCCAGATCGGGCACTACAGCGGCAAAGCTGCCCGGTCGATCGCCGACGGCCAGTCCCAACACAGTTTCTCCAATAACTCTACGCGGTACTTCGCCAATACCGCGCTGGCCTCCAACCTCGTCAACACGAGACCAGGTCGGTTTACTGACATTCTGTCCTCGCACTTATTCCCGTAGTATTCATCAGCGTTTTTTTTTTAATCTTCGAATCTTACTGACGTATTTTTGTTTTACATTTCAGAATTACGACAATCGCGTCAATCGCTGGCGGCCGCCTCGGACCGGATGTCGCGGTCGAACTTCTCCGGCAACCACTTGCCGCCACACTCATCAGCTAGACGACAACGACCCCGATCGCGCAACCGCAATCTCGAATCGAATCCGCCGCGACCCGGTAGCCGGTACAGCCTGGCAGACTCCACACACACTCTCAACAACTACGATGAGAACAACTGGACCGACCACGACATGGACATCTACATGGCCCGCAATCCAACTACGAGGAGCGGCCTCGTACCGCTCTAAAATTCAGTGGCCTCAACATTATCTCATCGTTCATTCTTGCTCAAGCGTGTTCAAATAGAATATCCAGTCCTTTTGACAGACCATGCTTCTCGCTCGTGCGATTCGCTTTTAAGCTGAAGCGATGCTGAGCATAATCTAGGTAATCTTGACAATAGTTTCGATCGAGGAGAAAAGAGTCTCGAATGCGTCGAATGTTTTATTTTAGAAAATATTCGTCACAATATTTATATGACTGAATTTAACTTTTTTTTTCTGAGAGATCTGATATATTCGATGTGATAAAAGAATCTTTTTTTGGCACATTCAAAACTTACCGGCTTCGATCACGGTCGATGCTAACATGACGCGGCAGGCATTAACGTGTAATATTTGTGCAAATACGTGCAACCAGTGCGATTTGGGAGTATTAGGTTGAGAAACGGCCTTAGATATATGTCCTTGTGTAGTTCTAAGCAGTTTTATGTAAGATAATACTTTTAATTACCAAATCGTTGAAGCGAACAAGCCGAGAGTGTCTTTTTCGGCTTGCTTGAATGCACAATTTTCAGATTCTTATCGTAACGCGACGGACTTTACGATTCTATTATTCAAAGACTGCAATCGAAGTGTCCGTCTCTAGAGAGAAGCGCTACCACGATCAAACGAACTAATATATCGTGAAAACTCCACGTCGCTCGATCCCTCTGAACGAGTGGAAATACGAGAGGGATGCAAAATGAGAGACTTTATAAAGCTCTCTGTAAAGTCTACCTTTTATAACAGTGTATTCGCACGTGTATTCGCATGTGCGCGCATCGATGACGAGAACGACTCGTCCGGCGTACTAATGACGAATAAAGAAATTACTTCACTACTCACCCCGGTATCAGGATGCTTCTCTCCCAACGGAATCTGATCTCCTGCACGAACTCGTGCCAGAACTGAGCCAGGGCTGTCACGCCGCCAAGATTATGCGTGCAATGCGCCGCAACGACCGACAAACGCCATACCAAGCTGTCCATCGTACAGGTCTTCACGCCCTTCCATTGATCGTCCTCTACGTTGCATGTGGTGATGTCGTTGTAGGGAAACTTCTGCAAGGTTTTTCAATCTGCGATTATTAATTACGTTTATACATATGAATCTTTTTTTTATATGAAAACTGTTCATCTAAAATAAAACGTTGAAGCTTTAACGATATTACGTACACGTACCGAAGTATCATCCGCGTCCGGAAAGAGGAAGTAAAGTATAGGCAACAATATCTCCTCCGAGATTGGACCTTCGACATTCTTATTCTTCTTCGAGCTCGTCCTGCCTACTACCGTCGAAATCGTGGGTATTCTAGATTCAGTGAGTATGTTGAAGGCCGAGCTCAGCATTTGGTCGTCGTAGATATAAGATGCGTTCTCGCCCAGCAGCTCCACCATAGTTTTTTGATTGTTACACAGGTGCAGAAAGTCCGTCATATATTCGCCAAGTAGACAAGCCGGTAAAGTCACCATTTTTACTTGTACCGACCACTCGGGAGCGAGTTGTGGGTCGAGATCCGAATATCCTTCGCTATCCACAACCACATTATCCGACATTTCCGGCCACGTGGTGAATAAATGAAGTTCTCTGAAAATGTTGTAAAATAAGATATATTTCGGATATAAATTAAAATGTTTTATGATAAATAATCAAGGGCATAGCTGACTTTTCTTGAGTTCAAAAGCAAAACTTATTCATTTTTAGAAAAATAAAATTATCTTCTTTCTGTTAACAATTATTAACTATACCTTTACTTGCCAGGTAAAAAAAAATCGCTTTCTTTATTGCTATGCCTCTGATGACAATAAACATGTTAAGTTTAAGTACCCGACAGGATCGAAGGTCGCTCCAAAGGGAAGTTTACCCAATTCAGCTACGCCTAACGTTTCCCCCTGCATAAAATCAAAATCTGGAGGTTCCTGTGTCCATATACTGTTAGTCCAATCCTTCAACAAGTAGGAGAACCTAACTGATACCATTATGGAATCAAGCTTTACCCCACAGCCCTCTCCTATCTTCTGCTTGAAAAGGGCAAGTAAACCTGTAAATAATATCTTTTTGTAAAACTTTTATATCTAAACATATTTTAGTTACAAGACAAATTTCGTATTATTTAGATTTAATTAAAATATAAAAGATGCATACCAGTGAGATATTTGCAATGTGACGGAACTTTTTTTAGATGCACCATATCGAGATTCACGCAAGTTCCTTTACCAGCGCAGCATCCGAGATACATTTTCTGCCAAAGTTCCTGCACCTGCACCAACGCGGGAATGTAACTAAAATATACAGAAACAGTAAAGATTCCTGCATCAGAAATAGTTTTCATGTCGCAAATCGACTATGCTTACCAATTCGCATTGTTAGCTGCAATTGTCAATGAACTGAGCAGAATTTTGATCCGTGTCTCGTCCGTTAAACTTGCTTTTCGAGCTGGTATTAAAACGAGGAATTCTCGAATACCATAATAACGAGCTATTTCCATGCAATTATCATTAAGTCTCACAAAATCATTCGATATATCCAACGCATCTTTTTGACACTGTATCCATTCCTCGTCATTTTCCTCCTGAGAATTTGTCATATCCTCCTCTTCATCCTCCTTCTTTAGCTTGTAATGTTTCAGCAAAAATTCAACATCTGAAATATATGTAAATGTCAACAAAAAATCCAGAGAAAGATAACATTTGTAAGATTTGCATCGTAATATAGCACATAGAAATTAAAATCATGGTATATGTAATCCACAAATTTAAAAATCAATGTAATCATCAGCTCCACTTATCTCATATCTCTATACAAGATAATCCCACACAAATATTATATTTCTTTTAGCTGCAATTTGTATGATAAATGCAGAATCGATATTTCTTTATCAGGAACTTTTCCCTTATCAAATGTCTGTTAATTGTTTATTATATCCGATACTGAACATCGCATTCAACTTTATATATACCATGATATAAGTTTTCGAGTTCTTAAATGTTGAAAAAGTTTTAAGTAAAATATCTGTTAAGCGTGAACCTGCAAAATTTATTTTCTCCGAGGCCTCGTGCCATTGACAGTTGAGAAAGTCCCCCGATTTGAGGGGGCCCGCGATCCTTGCATGGGACAGTTTCCATTCGTGCATGATTTCCTCGAGCCGTGCGATGAACACCTCCCACTCGGAAACAGTGGTGAAATCGTGATGATAGAAATCCTCGATTTCCACATGATTCATTTTCGCAGACGCGATTTCCAATCCAAAGAGGCAATGTACACTCGTGTCGCGATTCTATATCTCTATCTTCATAGATATCTATTCTTACGAGAAAGCAGTATCACTTTACCAGTTTTCTGTCCCGCTTTTTTCACAAGACATAAACTCTAATGTCAGTTTAAAAGATTTCACAGGTATTTTTTAAAATTCTTTTTTTCTATTAGACAATAAACACTTCAACTTTGTACATATGCATTTGACATTTCCACAACTGATGTGAGCTGGTCGCCTCAGCTGATCGCCTTCGCGTTTCACTCTTTTCCTCATAGATGGCGCATAAATCTATCTCCAGCAGATCGCGACATCTTGCGCAGAGTACACAAAACTTATTTCGAATTCAAAGATTCATAGATTGTGGGAGAATATAATAAAAAGACAGAACATAGAGAAGACACACACAGTGATAACAGGATGATAATGTAAATATATAGAACATAAAATGCAATATATAATTTATATAATTGTTAAAGAGTCCGCCATCAAAACTAAAGCAGCTATATAGTTATAATATATTCAGATATATATACTGTGTATATAATACATTTTTATGATTTATTTATTTTAAAGAACGGACACATAACCGTGATCGTAAAAGCAAAGAGGGCATAAACCAACGCAGGTATATAAAATTAATGAAATTGCAAATTTGAGAAATATATTAACATGCAAATTGGTTACATAGACACTCTATATGTCTAATTAGTCTAATTATTATACAAGACGAACGATCCATCATATCTCTCTCGATGCGACAATATTTAGCTGCGGATAACTAGTACTATCAATTATGTAATGTTTTTCCATAATGTTGGTGCATTTTATTATTGTTGTCGTGATAATGAGTATCTAATCTTCGTCTTGCATTGATTTATAGCATTCGAAGTTTGATTACTTGCAAATTTTTGCCGGAGAAAGATCTGCTATCTATTCGTTGTCCGCTATTTATTCCGCCGATTTGAAAAGAGCTAGAATGATTTTAATCGGAGCGTCTTTTTCGCGCGGATCGGCGTGCTGGCGTCAAAATTTATTTTTATATCGCCACGGGAACTCGCGGCGCGAGGATTAGAAAGGGGAGAAACGTACACTCAAGGCGGAAGCCTGTTACGCAGTGACGCTCAAACGATGAATTCCTGTAAGAACAGTCAATGAATTAGTAAATTCACAATCGCATTAATATTCGATTTTTCCAAAAGAAGAGAAAATTACTCGCTAAATATTTTACTTTCTATTAATTGAAGAAATATATTTATCTTTTATTTTTTAAATATAGTATAAAAAAAAACCTATATAGCTCATATTCTATAGTCTTATAGTTTTATATATACATATAAAGATTATACAAAAAATCTTTCATTAAAAGTTTTATATTATTTACAAAGAAGTTGAACAGTAAAATTGAGCATATGTCAAATTTCCGAAGTTTTAAACTTTATATTGCCTGTTTTATTATTACTTCATCTTCCATTAATTTATTGTATGTGTAAGAAATGCGTGCTCTTATAAAAAAGAGCGATTTTCAAACGCTAATAAAAATGCAAGTATTCAAGCATTGGAATTTGCACAATTTATCACGTGCGATTTAAGGCGCATGTAGTTTATAGTTTCATACTAAATATAGTATGGATATTAAAATAATATAGTCACTCTTTTTTATGTACATTTTTATTCTGTTTGTAGAATAAAATACGTATTTCTCTGCAGAATTTAAATGGACAGAAAAAATAAAGTGCGGTAAAGAAATGCTAAAAGATTCTAAAAAGCCTAGTTTAATGATAATAATTGCAGAATATACAATTCCAAATATTTTTTGTAAAAAAAGAAAAAAATAGAGAACGTATTAAAAAGAACAGCAATTAAATCCAACTTATTTGTTAAAATAATTTTAGCTTATTTTTAGCAAAAATTCCGAAGATACATATATTATGAGAAACCTTAAACAAATTCATAAAAACATAACGAGAAGCTTTGTCACTGACTGATTCAATTGTCACGGCGATTCGCGCTCGTATTTAAGTACATCTACACGCGGTCACCCACACTAATAGATTGCGTGTAAATGATAATGCGATGATAATGACGAGAAGGTTGCGCGGCACTGACGAAACGGACGGACGTGCGATGTCATTGGCGTAGAATGCTACAGCTAGAATATATTATTTGTTGTATGTCTAATTAGTATGCCTGTCTTAAAATTTCCTTGAAAAACTTTGCGACAGTCTTTAAAAAAAAAATTAAAAACAGAGTTTAAAAATACTAATTTTCTATAACAATATGACACGTGTGCAATGTTTTTCACATGGAGTCCTCAATTATCGCGACAAAAATATCTGGCATTTCTTTCAATCGATTCTTTACAAACCTCATTCTTTTAAAAGACGCGTTCGCTAGCATTTTTTCTCTTTAATGCAATGTACGAAAAAAACCGCTCCAAAAAAAAAATAATTTTTATTTAAATATAATACAACATATGCCCAATATTTCTAAAGATTTTTAAAAAAATATTTATTATAACAAGAGTAGATTCTTGCGTCGCGATTATTTGGCAGCTGCGTGCGCCAATGCCGAGAGGGTGATGCGTGCTCTCCGCAAGCGAAAGAGCAAGGGTTCGCTCGGACGTAACGCTCTTTAGTATCTTTAGTATCGCACTACAAGTAGTATCGCACACGCATCGCATCAATTATGCATTTTCACGAGAGGACATGATCCTTTGTCCCCGGCGACGCGCGCCGCGTACTCGCGATCGACACGACGATCGCCGGCGAGAGGATGCTGCGCGCCGAGAAAATTCGCCGACAATTTTTGCGCGATTCGCGCTCGAGAAATCGCCGCGCAAGCACTTCTGCGATCGATGATCCGGACGGGGAACTGATTTCATGCGCGTGCGAATGATATCGCGAATATTTTCATCATGAAATATGCCTCAACGTGTATGGTATAATAATTACATATAATAATGACACAGCGTATAACAATATAGTGTTACATGTTTATAACGTTACAGCGTTACGAAATAAGAAACTCTTGTAACAAGAGATGAAATAAAAGATTTTTCCGAGCGAAAACTTGAGCGCGACATTAATCATCTCGGTATTTGAGCCGTAAATTAAAATTTTAATTTACAGAGAACGGAAGAAAAAAAATAATGGAAGATTCAAATATATATATAAGAAAATTTTATACATTTGAAATAATTTCCAACTGTATATCTCGTTGTTCCAAATTTTTTTACTAAATATTTTAATCTTTTTACTGTGGAAGAATTTATCGATATCGAAATCTGTTGCTTATCTTTGTGTTTCTTTTATACGTATATTAATCGTCAACTTCCACGCAACGTGCTAGAACGCTTAGCCACATCGGTGTGATAAACCGACAAGCGCGGACTGTGATAACAAGCCTATCAGTGTTAATAGTCGATTAATAATTCTGTGAAGCACATCGCGCAAATTGCTGTGAAAAGGAAATGGGAACCACTGTATGTATAGTTATCAATATCCGTGTATTTTGTCAATTTCGATAAGTTCGATGGATTGTCAGCTGAGAATACCTTTTCCGGAATTCTGCTCGGTTATCGCTCGTAATTTTATTTATATTACGTCTCGAAGAATGCGTTATGGTTTTCGCAGGTGTGCGTTTTTTGGCGTATCTGATGCAACACGTATCTGGGACCCGTAAGACTTAGGTGGGCACAATGGCGTGGAAGCGGAAGATTTCGCGGTGATTAAATTTGAAAAAAAATGTTTATAATGTATCCAACATTTCTGTGCGTCAAAATTATTTTTATGAAGAAATTACTTCGAAATATAATCTCAAATTATAAAAATTTACATTTGACGTTTTCGAAGAGTGAATCCGTCGACATTTTTATTATTCATCTTTTTTCTCGTCGAATGTCTTGGCAAACATAAATATTTGCGGAAACAACAAGAAACTAACGTCGACGCAGTAAAAATCTACGAAATGTTCTAAACTGCGAACTTGGAATAAATTGATTTCGATTGATTATTTGTGTTTCTTATCGCATTAAAAAAATAAAATAAAAAGATTGACAGAGTGTCGATATAAAAAAGATTCGCTGGAAAAACTAATCAAGGTATAATTAAATATTTCCTATTTTCGCGTTTATTCGAACCGTTAAAGACGCGGGGGAAGGAGGGAGGAAAAAGATATTTGACACGTGGTAGAGAGTTTGCGAGATAGAGATTTTGGAGCCGATGCCGGTAGGGCGGTACTGCTCCGACACTATTTCGGAGCGGTCGTGTCCGCGCCACTGGACGCGCGCTACTGCGAGCGTCGCGTCAGTTCGATCGCCGACGGAGGATCGCGCGGAGGGTAGAGGCAGTGGTGAATGCGACGTGTACTCGGCGCAAACGCGCGAACGCGTGGAAGAGATAGCGCAGTGAAATAGCGAGCGACCGTCCGGCTCCATATCGTCAGTGTTAACGTGGACCGGCACGGCAGCCTCGCACGTGTGTCCGTCGTGTGAACGTTCCCTCTTGCCACGTGGTGCTAAAAGAACGCGCCTGCTTTTTTTTTCACATTTTTTCCCATTTTTTCTCCGTCATCTTTCATTCTTCGAACTTGGCTCTTTTCCCGCCTGTCCACGTGGTACGGTGATGCTCACGCGGCAAGTCATACATTCACGTTATTCCGATATTGCGAACAATCGCGCGGGAACGCGTGTGATATTCGTGCGCGCCAGTTTCGGGGAACGTAGGTGTAGGTAGACGCGGTGCACGTGCGAGAGGATGCCAGACAAGGTAGCACCGGTGGAGAAGATGGTCCCGCGACCCATCGCGGGACCCGACAGCGGCAGCGAGGGTATTAAATTGCAGAAGGAATTAGGCCTGTGGGACGGCGTGGCGATCATCGTCGGCATCATCGTCGGCGCCGGTATTTTCGTGTCGCCCAAGGGTGTGCTTCTGAACAGCGGTAGTGTCGGTCAGGCCCTTTTCGTCTGGATCTTTTCCGGGATCCTGTCGCTCATTGGGGCTCTATGTTACGCCGAGTTAGGTGAGTGTGAATGATGAAATTCTTTATAACGGTTACTACCCTCGAGCTTCCCCTTGCTTCGAATTGGCGGGCTCGACAGGTGGTCTCTGAAATAGCATATAAAACGTCCCTAAGGAAAACTTGATTTGAGAGAGAGAGAGAGAGAGAGAAAAAAGAATATCTTTTTCTTCTTCTCTGCAAAAGATAAATATATAAAATATTATACACAGGCTTGCACACGTTTCTTGGATTTTTGCACAAATGCATTTTCTTATTTCTATTTTGAAATAAATATATTCTCTATTTTCTTTTTATCTATTTATATATAAAATATTCCAAATATTAAAAAAGGGAAAAGGAAATATATATACACTCTCTTCTCTAAAATTTATATTATATTACATTAATTATAAAAAAATGTAGTATAGTAATTAATGCAATATATGTTGTATTATACGATACAATAGAACAAAATTATGAAATTTCTCTAAATTATATATGCCACCATATGTTATCAATATATGCTATTAACCTACCATTATATGCTATTAACCTACCATTCGTGCAAAGAAATAAAACAAAAAATGATAATTTGCTAGTTTAAAAGTTCCTTAATGATAAATAGTGATAATATCGTTTTATTATTGCATACATATGTTGTTTGAACAATTTTTCTAATTACTTATATGCCTTTTTATTTCACACATATTTTTAATGTTTTATAAAAATAAGAAAATTTTTCAAACAACTCATTTTATATAACATAATATTTTCTTTCCCAATTCTTTTTTGCTTTATATAAAAATATATTTTCGAACTATATATATAAATAGTATATAATCTTCTCACCAATTTCTATTTGCTTTAAAACTCGCAGTGTCTATCTATGAGAGATACAAATATCCTCTATTTCTTTTTATCTTCTTTTTATTTAATCTCTTTGTTTGCGTGTGCACATATGGTATTGTTTCAATATGACAACATGTTGATAAAACACTTGCACTCTCTCACAATATCTCGATGACTAAGATGAGCCGGAATCAATGACCCGACGAAAGACCGAATGCGAATTTCGAACGGCTTGTCTTCCACGAGAGAACAGAATCACGGGAAATAACGTCTATAAACTATTGTGCACATGTTTTTGGATCGCAGACATTAAGTTCGTGGCAGATTTGCAAAATTGGAATTTTATAACTGACGAATATAAGAACAAAAAAAGAAAAAAAGAAAAATATATATATTTATATATATGTATTTTTTTTCTTGATAATTATAAATTATATAAATTCAATGTATATATAAATTGGGATAATTTTTGTATTCTTGACAAAACGTTTTCGCGCGCGTGACAACAAAGAATCTTTCAATGAAAGTTAATACCTTCGTAAGACGATGCTTTGTTTCTACTGATAGTTCTCGACCTCTTAAGATTAGTACCATAGATTTACAATTCAAAGTTTGATTTCTACACAGAGGATCATTTATTGAGATCCTTTGTTCGAATTTGTAACAAGCTCGCCATCACGATTATAACGAGTCATTCATACAATTGTTCTTTATCTTGTAGTATTTTTATCTGCTCATAAAAAATATCACGGTCAGATTACATATTTGTTATATATAGCGTAAATAATATTTATTAGTCTTAATCATATTATAGATGTATTGTATTATTTTTTTTATTTATTTCTTTTCATGTATTTCAAATGTTTCATAAGAACAAGAAAACTTTCCGAACAATTTGTAATTTTCTCACAAATTTTTTTTTTTTGCTTTATATAAAAGTATATCTTTGAACTATATTTATAAAATATGTGTACTCTTTTTATAAATTTCTATCTGTTTTAACTCGAAATACCTATCTATGAGAGGCATAAATATCCTTTATTTTAGTCTTCTCTTAATTTGACGTGTCTTTGAAATACATAATCATCGCGCTTAATATCTACAATATCTATTTATCATAATTTTTTACCACTGACCTTAAGCCTTTAATCTTTACAATACATAATATGCATTGATATAACATGCATTTAGGGATCTTGCGTTAACAGCAATACAATGATGCATAACAACGGTTCCGATATTGAAAATCAGGATATAACAAATGTGCCGCATTGCAAAAGATCAAAGTGTATCAAACGGCTAAACCATCTATCGACGATATAATCATATATTTCAAAATAAAACTTACATTATATTATATGTATATTGACTTTGTTTTCGACACCGAGTATTTTATCTCCAATAATATTAGCTATAGATATCGATGTCTCGAAAATGCTCTTTTATGTATTTTAATTCTGGAACATCTTGTATACTTTTATTATACGTATAAATTAATTGGTTTATCTTGAAATACAATATTTGCTCTTTGTTTTAAACGAGATGGATTTTCGTGCAATATTATTCAAATTTGATTAGGCAAATTTGAATGGCTTAATTGACATATAGTTAATTAATTGTCATAAAAACATGTGGAAAAGACTTCATTGATAAATTGAGAATGAAGAGAGACGAATAAAAGCGTATTACCTTGTAATAACAGGAAACGAACGTCGTCAAGTGTATAAATTGTAGCAAGCTCTTCGTGACAAACCTAATCATTAAATTTACACTATTATAAGTCACGTCCACTGTTACTATTATCGCGTTATCGTTATCGCGTGCCGCAGGTTCAATTGAAAATATGCTTAAAGTGCTCTTAAAAACAGGAAAAAAATTGAATTGAATATTACAAGGTATTATAATTAAGACGTTTCTTAACTATAAAAATTCTATCCTCTTATTTTGAAAAAGATAAAATCAAACAATTTTTGCAACTTTTGATTAATTTACAAAAGATCTAAAAGAGAGAAAGAAAGAAAGAATAGAAAACATAAAAAACAGACATATCACGATATGCGAGCTGTGAATCCGTCGATGACCGAAAAACCGCGATATTGCTAATGGGCGGGAGCTCATGTGATAAGATTGCATATAATTATGTGGGACATGATTTGCGAGGAAGCAGAATCTATTTGCGTAGATACTGTACGCGTGCAATAATACGACAGGTCACAAGCGTGTGATTCGATCCGATCTGGCGGCAATGAAACAATGTTACACAGTTATCAATTTTTTTCTTTTTTATTATTCAAGATAAACGGTTTATGAATTTCATAAGAAATGGAACAAAATAAAATATAAACGATAGTATAAATAAGCATGTGATGTAAAATGTTATCTTATAGATATAAGGAGAGATACATTATGTATACATTATATATACTCGTGTTGAACTGAGTGTTGAACTAATTTGAGATTTAGAGAAAGTATCGGGTATTGATTTATGAAATCTGACAAACATATGAGAAATTTATATAAAGACAAAATTAGATCGTTAAACAATGCATATGTACGCAATAATGCTTGATATATCGAGAGCCTCGGCTATTTCCGAAATAAAAGTTGATCTAATCTGACGTCTCTTTCTTCACATATATATTTTTTTTATATTTATTCTATATTACATTTTAATTTATAATTTTTATTTTTATTTTCTTTCATGTTTCCCTTTGTCTTACATCTATAACTTCGTTATCTGCTTTATTTTATATTCATTTTTTATTTGCTTTTATAAAACAATTTGTCAACTAAAATATATTAATATACTAATCGATTTTTCCGTCGTCAGATTTTCCATAATTTTCTCTCATTCCTAAACATTTTCATCTGCTAATTTTTCTGTTAATTTATAATGAGAAAACACAGATGATGCCTTTTTGCATTTATACAGGTACGATGATTCCTAGATCCGGTGGTGATTACGCGTATATAAGCGACGCTTTCGGACCTTTGCCAGCATTCCTCTATCTCTGGGTGGCGTTATTCATCCTGGTACCAACGGGGAATGCTATCACGGCGCTCACGTTCGCGCAATACATTCTGCAACCTGTATGGCCCGGATGCGAACCGCCGTATGAAGCGGTGCGACTCCTCGCTGCTGTGATCACGTGTAAAATGAATTTTATTAATTTATTCCTATATTTTTTTTAATTTATTTCTTCCCTTTGGGAGAATTTTTAGTTACCTTTAATAAGCAAAGTAAACGCTAGCAGAGATGATGTAATGATTTCATTAAAAACTGAAAAAAATATAAAAGATTAAAGCAAATATAATAAATACAGAAAAGAATAATTGAAAAGGAAAGGAACCGTCATTAGTGTCAGTATATAAAGCTTTAAATGCAAGTGAGCGAAAATGCGTTCGCAGGTTTACTGACCGCCATCAATTGTTACAATGTCAAATGGGCGACCAGGGTGCAAGACTTTTTCACCGCTACCAAAATTTTCGCTCTGCTGATCATCATAGGAGCGGGTCTGGTGTGGCTTTGTCAAGGCCACGTGGAGAACTTTCAACGTCCAATGGCTGGCACCAACACCCAGCCCGGTTATGTCGCCCTCGCGATCTATTCCGGATTGTTTTCTTATTCGGGGTGGAATTACCTCAACTTTGTGACGGAGGAACTAAAAGATCCTTACAAGTAATTGCGAACTCTCCATTTTATTATTTTGCATCTCTGTTGTAATTCTCGTAATATACAGAAAAAGATAAAACAGATCAAATTGATATCTGCTTATTTTGATGGGAAATAGAACGTTGTATTATTAAAATTATATATTCGTATTATTAGAAATTTATTTATAAATTATTTAAAAAATTATAATATGAGAAATTAAAATATTTATATTAATCAATTTTTACAGAAATCTTCCAAAGGCTATTTGTATATCATTGCCAGTAGTAACAGTGATATACGTTTTCGCGAACATCGCGTATTTCGTTGTACTCACACAGGATGAAATACTTGCATCGAATGCTGTCGCTGTTGTAAGTATGGATTTACACATTAATAATTGAAACAATTGTGAAATATTGACCGCGTTCAGCAGAACAAGTGCTTAATTATCGTCTTGTCAATACTTGAGGTTGATTTGTCGATTCTAACAATTAAAAAAAAACCCGGTCACATTCGAATGCTAAGCAATTTATTCTGCTGAATGCGCTCATTTATCCACGCAATGACGTTTTGTTGCCAAGTGATTGCATTTGCGCGAATATTTTAGCATAAGAGATTAGTGCAGTTCTCATTATATAAAAAGGAAGGATATATTTATTTAGAACTCTCCATTTTATTATTTTGCATCTCTGTTGTAATTCTCGTAATATACAGAAAAAGATAAAACAGATCAAATTGATATCTGCTTATTTTGATGGGAAATAGAACGTTGTATTATTAAAATTATATATTCGTATTATTAGAAATTTATTTATAAATTATTTAAAAAATTATAATATGAGAAATTAAAATATTTATATTAATCAATTTTTACAGAAATCTTCCAAAGGCTATTTGTATATCATTGCCAGTAGTAACAGTGATATACGTTTTCGCGAACATCGCGTATTTCGTTGTACTCACACAGGATGAAATACTTGCATCGAATGCTGTCGCTGTTGTAAGTATGGATTTACACATTAATAATTGAAACAATTGTGAAATATTGACCGCGTTCAGCAGAACAAGTGCTTAATTATCGTCTTGTCAATACTTGAGGTTGATTTGTCGATTCTAACAATTAAAAAAAAACCCGGTCACATTCGAATGCTAAGCAATTTATTCTGCTGAATGCGCTCATTTATCCACGCAATGACGTTTTGTTGCCAAGTGATTGCATTTGCGCGAATATTTTAGCATAAGAGATTAGTGCAGTTCTCATTATATAAAAAGGAAGGATATATTTATTTAAATATTAAAGAACAAATTTTTGAAAAGAAAGAAAAGTTTAATTCACGCAACTAAAAATTGTATTAAATTATTTATAGCAATATACATATATCACATATGTATATTTTGTGCGATAAAGTGGAACAAGTATGCGAGCGAACGTCTTCTCCACGCGTACTATGGCTTTTCGAAAAAAAAAAGATCAAACATCGCATCCCTGATAAAACCGATAGATTATTTAATATATCGTTATACGGGCAAAATGAAATCGATCTGATACAATGCGGAAAAAATTACGCAATCTCGCGGTCGCTTTCGCTATAATCAAGATGCCGTTCCACTTTTGCTACTAACGTGGCATTAAATCGCAGCAAAAATTCCTTTCTAGACCTTCGGCGATAAATTGCTGGGCGTTATGTCATGGATTATACCATTCTTCGTGGCGTGTTCGACTTTCGGAGCATTGAACGGCGCAATCTTTGCGTCGTCCAGGTTGTTCTTTGTCGGCGCCCGAAACGGACATCTCCCTACTGCCATTGCTTTGATTAATGTCCGCAACTTGACGCCAATGCCATCCCTTATCTTCCTCGTAAGTATCGCATCTTCGTTCTTTGTTAAATTAAAATCAAAATGCAAAAAGGGAACAGATGCAGACTACAAACTGACAAGGATTTATTAATAATATCGAGTTTAAGTAATTTTTGATAGGTAAAAAAATCGAGTAAAGTGAATAAACGTCGCAAACAACTTGCACGTATGTAATTTTACGATGATTTTACAACCAGTTTTCCTTGAAAGTCAAATGGTGAACGTATCTTACTTCCTATCATTTTCATATCCACCGATATAAACGAACAATCTCTAAGCTCTAGCTATGTCATCAATAGTTATCGCTGTATAACTCATGCTTGTTTGTCCGATGCATTCATCTAGCGATAATAGAAATGGGACATATTAAATATTTACGTGTGACATTGGGGCGTGACATATGATTGACATATCAAGATAGAGCCAAAAATTTATCGTGGAATATTGTTGAATTTTTATCATACTGAGATATTTGTACATTTATAGGATAAATTTATTAAACCTCCGAATATTTCCACCATCTTACGAGAAATTATTTATATAATTATTCATTATTCTATACAAACTTTCCTCTAGTTTGTCCTATCTACCATATAAATATTAGTAATAGTTTTTTTTAATATCCTGTATATACTTTGGAAATTTTTTTAAATTCTTCTCAATGACAATATCCAAAAAATCATATATCTTTTATTTGCGCAGCTGAAAGAAAATAATTGAGAGAAAAAATTAAAAGAACTATGACTATGAGCAAATACTCAAGAAAAACGATCGATACATTTACGTATACTTTTAATTGATGTTGATGTAATCCTGCGCCTTGCATATAATAATTTGGTTCGTCCAATTGGCGGGGACTGGATTAATTGATATATATAAATCAAGCACCGCGAAATTAAATTAAAATTGGCGTCTTAATAAAATAAGCCAGCCGAATCGAGCGGCGACGCGACGCACACAGCAGTATGTAGTTCGGCATTTTAATCTCTGCAGTTCGTTTGAAAGCAATAAATGAATCTTTTCATGTCGATCTCTTCAGCAGCGGAAGTCTGCTCGTGATTTTCATTCCTTTTTACGAACGAATTAAAAAGACCGATCTCGTTAACCGCCGTTCAAAGTCACGTCGCATCATCAAGCATTGTATATCATTTTATCTTCTAATAGAAATTAATTAATTAATTGCGCATGCGTTCAATATGTTGATTATCTTTTTAATTGTATAGGTCGACAACTTTTGAGATATGAGCGAAAATTATTTAAGATCGAGTATTAAAAATTTATCAAAAATATTGTTATCACAACATCAATCTTTTTGCTAAAAAAAGAGTCCAATTCAAAATAAATTGAAAATTCATGGATGAAGAAAAGTACGCCCAATTTACACATATGATATAATTCAGAATCGATCGCAAAAATTATTTTAAATTTTAAACTAATACCTTGTCATGATTTGTCATTGATTCTAAAAGCACCGCGAAACGATATTTTTATTCTTGCTATTATTGAATTCCAATTCTGAGCATTAAACTATAATTTCTAGTGCCTTATCACCCTGATGCTCCTCATCATAAAGGATGTCTACGTACTGATAAATTATGTCAGCTTCGTTGAGGCTCTATTTACCACGCTTTCGGTGTCTGGTTTATTGTGGCTACGTTACAAACAGCCTGATCTCCATCGTCCCATAAAGGTACATACAACTTTTCAAAGAAAATATCAAAGTCTATATTTCTTCTATTTTTCTTCTTTTATTATAAATAATTTTATTTTACATTTCCATATTTTTTTCTAGGTTTTCATACTTTTACCAATCATCTTTTTCATAATTTGCGTATTTCTGGTCATTTTTCCGTGCTACGTTTCACCATGGGAAGTTGGCGTAGGCATAATCATAATCCTGTCTGGAATTCCCATGTATTGGATCTTCATCGATTGGAAAGCGAAACCCGCGTGGCTCGTAAATGGATCCTGTAAGTTGTACTCAAACTTTCGAAGCTCGTCAAAGATATCTTCGCGTTTACATAATTAATACCATCATTATATATTTTGCAGATAATTTCAACATGATGTGTGCTAAGTTGTTTTTGTGTGTACAAGAAGATAAAAACGAGTGAAGTACGTGAAAATAGTTGTTATTATTGTCAAATATTCTGAACTATGGTGCCTGAATTCGAGAATGCGTTTCAAGCATGCGTCGTACTTTTTTAGGTAGGTAAATTAAAATTATAATCGTGATCATAATGTCAATTACAATGTCGAACTTTGTCGAACAGCTGCATTATTATATAAATTAAGTTAACGACAATGCGCGCATATGAATGACACAGCGGTCGCTAACGTAGATTTGTGATTTTTATATTTTATATATTTGCACAATATAAATTATAATTTTTATATATTCGTAATTATGTATCTTATCGCTTTGTGTCTGAAACGATATTGCTATAGTCAATCTTGGCGCATAAATTGTATGTTGATTATTGTTGTATTAATATCGATTATTAACTGTGTATACAAGAATTTCGATATTATACACGTTTAAGATAATTATCTTAAACGTGAAAATGCGTCCCACATTTTTGTTTACCATTTTAGAGTACATAGCTATAATAATACAATTAGATTTATACACAAAATATAGGGAAAATATGGGAAATTTAGAAAAATCGTTGAATTGTATCAAAAAAATTTATAATTTGGGTGAGTTTAATTTCTTTGTCTTGTAGAATTTTATATCAATTTTTACATTTATTCGCGGAGATGAAGACTATCATCACACATGGCATTTATATCTCAATTTAGCGAAATGAGAGAGGTATTGGTTTTAATCACCAAATTGTACATATATATAGCGAAAAATAATATAAACTCTTTGTATACTACGTACATAAGTCTATAGTTTCAAATTATATACATAAATATATAGTTATAACTTATAGTTAGACTATAGTTACATTAATAACTTAAAGTTATTAACTATATAAATAGGTATATAGCTCCAAAAATAAAAATATGCAAAGAGTGTATAAAGAAATCTGCTTTGATTGTATATATACAGCGCATTTATATATAATTTTGATAATTGTTTATCAATTATGAGAATTTTTATTTTGGCTTTATTATTACATTAAACTTTTAGATATATCTTTTTCATTATTATATACAAATATTATATGTACACTCATAAAAACATTTTATTTTTTCCAATGGAAAAAATTCTAAAGATTTTTCTTACTTTACAATGTATTTATCTTCTGTATGTTTCGAGTAAGCTATCTTGTATACGATGTTACTTGATCATTAATACGTTCATTAATTCTAGTGTAAGAAATAAATTATATTAATTTTGTATCAACAGTATAAAACTAAAAACAATATCAGGGATGACAAAATAACGTTTGAAAAAAAGACGAAACGTTTATATATCATAAGAATTTTATCGCATCCTAAGCGTGAGTAATATCTGCGCTTTTAGATATTGTGACTGTGAATAATATATTAAGTATCATTTATGCTTATATATTCTAATCGAATAACTGCTCAAGTACCAATAGGACGTTTTCATCATGAAATAAAGTACATTCAAGAATGACTAATTGTGTGTCTTGTACGCAAGCAAACAGATTACATTTTCTGTAAAACAGAAGACAATAGAATATTGTACAAAATACGAATTAAATTAAGAATTAAATTATTTCGATCATTGTAATAAATATTAAAGCAGTACATCTTTTAAGGGAAACTACATAGAAATATAATAACAATTTTTGAATATTAACTTTATTTCAACAGATTTGATAAAACGGTGTTGTAAAAATCGCTTTAAAGTATAATAACTTGCAATTATAATTTATAAGCTGCTAACGCAGAAATAAAGGAGAGATTCGTATTGCAGTTTCTTGTTTGTTATTTCCTAAATTTCTAAACATGATATGTGATAATCTGACTGGTAGAAAAGAAATACGGTATATATACCTGGGTCGTCGAACTTCTGTACGATAAAGTGTACGGTAAATAGGCCAAAAGTACATTTAACGTATACGCCAAAAAGATTAATAACAGTTTCTCGCACATATTTGTAAATATTTTATTTGTATTTAACTTTTGTCTCACTCTTCCTTGCATTTTTACTTTTCAAAATCTTATACAAATATTATTATTTCTCAGCATCACATTAAAGTTGACTGTTTGGACAATTGAGAGTCTCTTGTTATCTAGATCTTCATAACACCATGTATAATTTCTTGCTATATGCGTTTAGATGGTCGCGCGAACCTTCGCGATTAAATATCAATTTAAAATTTTGCAAAAAGATATTAATACTTTAAATTAATTGTATATTTATTTGGCACATACCAATATATGTCCAACATAATGACTATATATTTTAAAGACTTTTGCGATCGATTGGATGAAGAAACATATCGAAAATCATTTGTACATAACGGATAGTATTAAAAAAAGAAATAAATTTATATTGTAGAAGCTCATAATCAAGACTTCTGTTTCCACGGAAGAATTTTCACGGAAATATTCTTCTCTTTAAATTATTGATACAAACTGGAACTAAACTTTATTAAAGCGAAGAAACTTGCAACGCTATGTCTACTATTTTCGTTGTTTGTATTTACATATTTTATCGGCTCCTCGATTGTTGTGTATATATATATAATTGGGCACATTTAACAATTCAGTATACATTATTGAGCAATCTTTTTCTCATTTCTTCTATATTTATGTTTAAAGTTGAATGAAACAAAGTACCTTGTTATGAGCTTCCGGTATTTGAAGGATAAGTCTTGCAAACTTACCGATTCGACAAGCACAGATAACATTGTAACGGTTTCATATTCGTCTTAATAACTAATTTGGCGTAATTGTATAAACATAGGGACTTAAAAAAGTTTTAAAATTTTCACAAACTTTTTTTCCAGCATCTCTTTGCAACGCCATGTCTTTAATATAAACACAGTTAAAACTATTTTTGCGATTTGTACTTATTTCCGCGTTATAAAAATAAGCGAAAAATTGGAAAATTTTTTAACAATCTCAAGGAATCTCTTGTCTTTTTTTCAGTCCCTACGCATTTATTACAAAAGTCGAAAAATGTGTGAAAATGTTCAAAGAAAACTTACGCGCGCATTTTGTTTATTCGACGAACTCGACGAATTCCTTTCTGGCTGCATGTGTATATTCGCGATGACGAAATTACACGTGGATTTCTTGACGGAACGAAAAGAAATCACTGTCGGCATTTCCGGAAAAATCGAATAAAGAATCATGTCGGTTCGTGCGCCTCTTTTTAAGCAAGAAACGCGGATCTCTTTCGGCTCTGGACGATAATATATTCTAAGATCAGCCTTCGGCGAGCGGCGGCGTCACCCAACCGTATTTCTCGTGCGTTTTCACCAGGTTCTTGAATGTTTCCTCGGCTAATTGTCGATTGTACTCCTTATTCGGTTTCGACTTTCTCGACACCTGTGCCTGCAGCACAAAAGGCTTTGCTTAAATATAAGAAATCTTTTTCTGAGACATCGAAAACGTATAAAAATATTACAAACGCTCTCTGCTAGTAAATATTTTTGAAATTTTGCTCGCTTTTTAATTGCAAAAAATAAAACAAGATAGAATTTCACAAAGTTAACTGAAAAGATATCATGTACAAGACTGATTCTCTATTAATTTCCGAATTTGAAAGATAACAAGGAAGCTATAAGAAATCCGCGTATAGTTTAGAAGACTATAAGGCTAATAAAAATTATTTATCATATGATACATTATCATAATACATTATTCTATCTATATAATCACACATTATTGTAATCACATATATACATTATCATAATATATTATGTCTAAAAAGATTAACTATTCGATGCAGATCCAAATAAAGCTCACCTGTCCTTTCACAACGCTAGCCGCGAATTGCATGATCATTGACTCGACACTATATGCACAACACCATCCTCTCGGCGTAAGGAGTTCCATGCAGATAGCACCGCCATGCATCACGAAACCTTGCTCGATCCTTGGCGAGATCACCCTCATGAAAGGTGGCGCAAATGGGAATTCCTTTGGAAAGATCACATTCAATAGTATATGAGGTATCTTCAGCTCACGCATGTCGGCCGCCAGTCTACTGTCCGGGTCGATCTTGTGCAACCGGACAGACCACTCGAAGACATTGTCGTTGACAAGTTCGGCGGTAAAGGCCGAGTCACCATGGCGCTGTGCCCTCTGAATTCTGTTGAATTCCTTCATCAGTCGACGCAGTCCTACGTCCTTGTCGTTGACGGCCTTGTATTCGTTATTGTCCTGTGCAAACAAACCTGATTTGAGACTTTCAGAATATTCAGAACTCAAGAATAATTACAAGATCAAGGAAGCTATTTACTTCATCTAGCTATCAAGCTAAACCATTCAAGAAAAGAGCTAGTATTAATTTATCAAATCTCTTTTCTCTCGCAGGCTTATCGCTCAGCAACCCCTTTGTAATTTTTTTATTGAATCAATCAGGAACTCCGCGCACCTTTACGGACTTTTTCATCTTGAAGAAACAGTTACGATCGACATGAGTGGGATCTGGATTCTCCGGTATCGGACCATCCACCGGAGTGACGACATCTGGACGATGATGACGACTCAGGAGTCTCCTTGACGGCGAATTGGTCGAGCCACTGGCTCCCTCCGGCTCCGCGATCTTATCGGAGGGGCGGAAGAGCTTCCTGATAGCGGCTATGACCTTCTCCTTCGATTTCGTGGACATGGTTAAAATACCGTGTCTCTCTCTCTCGCTACTCTGCGTTCAAAATATTTTTACTTATAAGAAGCATTCGTAACACGCATTAAAATCATAATAATTTTATATTCTTATAGAACATATTGCACATAAAAGGAGTTAAAGAAACTTACATGCAAAAAAGGAACTCTTACAGAAGAGATTATCGAGATAATCCGAATTGTTTGAGACATGATGATAAGTCAATGTAAATAAAATTTTTAAAGGTAATGGATTAATTGAATTTGCCAATGAAACATATAATAACTGACACATTAAAAAGTAATTTCTTCCTTCACTTAGCAAAAGTAAAAAATTTCATCATTAGTTTTTTGGCGAAATTTTTTACTTTTCACGTCTAGAAAAAAGTTACACGCAACTTTTCCGTGCGCGATATCGTTATAATAACATTAGGAAGCTCATCTGGATTAGTTTCTTTAAATCAAGCGTGCGCCGCAAATATTGCCACTTGAATATATGTATAACAACATATATCTATAGGGAAATTCCGCATATATATAAACAATATCTTATAATAATATTTTTTTAAATATCTTACAGATGCTTGCGAACTTGATAAGAGAATTTATCCCGCCAAAAATAATTTCTAATTTTTCGAATGAAGAAAATATTGAAAATTTCTTTATGAAACCCGTCTCCGAGGATATTTTTCAGATACATGCCAGATTTTTACGTCACACTAACTGTTCCCGGTAATCGGTCTCGGAAAATTTCTCTCCGCCGTATCAATTCCTCCTTCAGCCTTCTTTTAAGTTATCTGTTCCTTGCAAAAAAATCGGTCAAAATTTATTAAAGTAAATTCCCATGAAATTTTTAGCTATCCAGGCGAGCCGAATTCCATCAAATTCCACTGATTCATGCTCTTACAGCAGACTCACCCATTTTGACGTCGATTCTGTATCGCTCACGCCCGATAGACTGCCAGCGTGTGATTATTTTGTACCGTTTGCGTACACGCGAGAATGGCGAAGATATCACCGCTGGACATGGCGCAGTCTCCACCCTTATCGAACCGCCAATCGACGCCAGACACGAGAACACCCGAAGGGTTTGATGACGACGTCAACGATAGATACTGGCGCTACCATCGAGGGTGGAAATGGTATATCCGCGGTTCCCTTTATCGATCTAATTTGTGTGACTAATAGTTGCGCGCAAGCGGCAAATCTTATTTTTTCTTTTACACATCAAAAAGCTTCTGTTTCTGATAAACATTTTATTTAAATTTTAAGATATTTATAAAGAAATTTTATATATACATGGAAATATTTAACATTATATGTATTTAAAAATGTTAAAATTTTAACATTATGTATTGCGACTAAATACTGATAGTTCTTCAAATTTCTATACAACAAAAAGGAACTTTACAAATTTGTCAGAAGATACGTGATAAAGATCTCAAAGAAACAAGAACAGAACGCTTTATGTTGCACAAAAAATATTTAAAAAATTTACAATTGAATGCGCGCAAAAATCGAGGAGTTATTTAACGAAGGCTAGATATTTACTCCATTTATTTATTTATCACTTAGTTATATATATATTCGCCCACGGTCTTACGATATACGTGTTTAGGTATCTGTTAGTAAATAGAAACACTAGAATGTGCTTGGCCATATATGCGAAAACAAGCAGACACGACAGATATTGGATCCATGCCCATTTCAATTCCTCCCACACACTCGGCTGATAGTAAATAAAATTTTCCACGTAAAACAATTCGCCGATGACGGCCACCGCTTCGTCGCTAGAGAAGCCGGTCCGCCACGTTACTCGCTCGTTTGTGATTCTGGCTGAAACTGTCGAGCAAACATATCGTCCGTATAATTTCTTTGCATCTTTATGCTAAACAAACTTTTTTAAGAACATCAATATACGCACATTTTCGATTGAAATTGTGCAACAGCAGTTCAGGTAGAGAATAATCGGATAGCTGTATGCTGTGGTTGTACATTTCGTAGAGACCTTCGCTACGCAAAAGTCCCTTCTGCCGTAGCTCCAAATCACCGAAGAACCGTATCTCTTGAACCCCGTGGCTTAACACCTGATCAAACACACCGATAGATTCTATCGCCGCTTGAATAAGGTGCTGTAAAATATTAAAAAATCCATCAAATCTGAAGGAGAAAATTTATAAATAGAGTATAACCGTATGATTCTACCTTTAACTGAAAATTGAAAAACAACAAGAGTCTCAGAGATTTTACTGGTTTGTCCGTGTAAAAATAAGCTTCAAACTTCAACGAATCCTTCTGTCCATCGCCGTTTACATCGTTCTCTTGTACCTGCAAACAAATCTGATAATTAGATATAAATATATAAATGGTATCTAAAACAAATAATATCAATGTAACTGCTGTAATTTAAAAAATGGAGATTATATATATTATTGCTTCCGATTTTCGTATCAGAATCAAACATTCAGAATTAAATAATCGGATTTATATATAATTCTAAATGCTGAGGAGGGCTAGAGGCTGACTAAAATATTTATACTAGTGACACAGAGAGAATAATCAAATCTTGTATTTCTAGCGTTGCTTACCCAATGAAAAATATAGATTGAAAAAACGTCTCTCTTAGATATCTATTAAATGTCTATAGCCGTTTATTTGATCTGTCATTTCTCACTGGGTATCTGACTTAATAATAAAGATACGACCTTGATTAGTGTACAATGATCTTTGATCTCGTTCTCTTTGTACGTTGTAAAGGTGGAACACACGATGGGCTCTTCGTAAGGATCCACTTCCGCGAGCAGCAGATATTTATACTCGAAATGCACGTCCGGCGTTTCCGCATGCATCCGATTTCTCATCCAGATGCCTGAAATTTTGATATATCAAAGATTATTATCGCGCGCGGTTTTCCAAAGTGGAGAAAAGTTAGAACGATTTTTACCCCCAGCATTATAGATTATAAAAAGTGGCGAAAGCAGAGATAGCACGATAAACACAAAGACGACGATCGAGGTGCAGGAATATATCTTGCTCTTGTATTTGTAAGTGACGGAGCTCGAAAATATTTCAATCGCTGCCATTATGATGCCACGCTCGTCACCGCGGCAACGTCCACAGGTGCGAAAACGTATAGACGCAGGTGAACAACAGCTGACAGTACGTGCGGTGATATATCCTCACCGATGCATTTCCCCTTCTAAAGAACGCGGCTTGAAAAGAGAAAGTATTTTAAAAATGCAATATTTTCTTACGTATTTTTTTAAATTACTTGTTTAAATTTTAATATAATAATCATCATTATAATTAAAGTATTAAGAGGATGATATGACAACCCATGTAATAAAATTTTTTAGTTAAAATTCTATGAGTACAAATCTTTATAAGTTTTGCAAAATCGAATCAAACTATTTTCAAAAATGTTTTATTTTTTAAGAATCGCCGGTAAATTAATCGTTTTTCTCAGAGAAAAGGAAATAAAAGCGTCTATGTAACTTTTCTGATAATATGTAACACACCTCTGAGTCCGCGTTTGCGCGCCGACGTCTAATAGTAATTCTCCATCTGACCGCTGTGTTTGATTGTAAATCGTGATCTTTCGAATCCTCCGTTAATTCCGAGGATTTCTCCTCAACGGATTCTTGAATGTATGCTAACGACTTGCCGTCCACGCCAAAATCCTCGACGACATTTTTCGGTTTAGTAAGATCGAGGGAACCTCGTCTAACTCGAAACGGTGATACTATGTATCTCCGGTTTCGTCCAAGAACGAATTTTCCTCGATCTTTATCGATATCCTTCTTTGCTTGTGATTTATCATTTCTCTCGCTCTTAAAAACAGATCCGTGACGAGCAGAATCGTCCCGGGTTGGAACATCCTCCTGAACGGTGATGGAGGACGTCGAGGTCCTGGAGGAAATGTCGGTCCTCGTGTTGGACGGCACAGAAATATCCTCCGCGAATGACAGTTTGCTTCGCGGAAAATTCGACAGATTCTTGGACGGCCTCTCGAATTCCTTCAAGTCCGGATGTAGAGCACTGTATCTATTCAGAATCCCTTGTTTCCAAATCGAGGACTTTGCTTGACCATCCAAGCTAAAAACAATATTTCATAAAATCTCATAAGATATCTCTGTGTATTCTCCACAAAAAAGTTTTTTTATTTTATATATTTATTTTTTTTAATAATTAAAATAATACCAAATAAAAATAATTTTTTAAAATAATTTATAGCAATTTAAATAAATTAGTTTATGTATGAGCGTTATCCTATCAGAACAAATTAATAAAATTTCGATTTAAATTTATATCCAAGTTAGATGGTCCATATATTAGAAATATAATTATTAAGAATAATTATTATTATATTTTAGAAATAATTAATAGAGAGATAGAGAAATATATGTACACATCAGCCATATATATATATTGAAATCTAGCATTTTATATGCTGCTTATTATGCAGAATAAGATATGATACCCCGAAAATTAAAAATTCAAATTATCGCGAAATGAATTAATTTTTTCCAACCTTAAATCTTGATTTTTATTTGTATCAGAGCCCAAAGCTTTATTCGCCGCGGAATCATATACAGGTCTGTCCATCCTCGTCGAGGTGGGATACGTTCCTCGTGTGACGGCATTTGCGCTAAGATTATTCCCGCCAAAAGCAGACAAGGACGACGATTGCGAAATGTCATCCGACGTCGCGTCATCGGGTCTACGTCGATCCGCGAGATCAGCTGGGATCGCGAAAAGCGCGAGCGGCACGCGCTTCACGATGAGCTTCTCGACAATGTAATCATACTCGTCGGGATCGTATCTGACGATCTCTCTCGCGTTTGATTCGCGTCTGAAGCAACAGAATAGTGCCTTGAAACACTTCGCTATTCTACTCGGCTCGACATCGCGGTTTATTCGTTCCTCCTCCTCTTCGATGGTAGAATAGGATTTCTCGGACATTTTCAAAACGCTTTTAAACTTTCGCGCGGTTTTTAACCACCAATTTTATTCCAGCTACCGGAAACTCATTTTGTGCATAAGTGGCGTTCATGTCCGTGCGCTTGTTCGAAAAATTAACGATTCTTTTTTTTTTAATTTATCGATTATATTTTGATTTTTATATCGAGGTTTATTTATATTATAAAGATATGAATCTCGGATCTCGCATTTAGGGACTTGACGTTTTGCAGTTAAAAAGATGGGGATTTTTACTCTAATGGCGAATTTACAATGCGCGACAACTGTTGGGCTGCCTCGAGTTTCCGAACTAGATTATGTATCGTTCGTGCAAGCCGACGCCATCATCTCGTATCTCGTATCACGTTATCCTTATCCGTTGTATGTCCAGGTTCGTCTACGAAGCGTTGCGGCATGTCGAGTGCTATCATTATTTTTTAGCAATTATTGACACGCCGAGATTTTAACGAATTGTACATCATCTGGAATTTAACAAACCAGGAACTTCTTGATCAAGGTGAGCAACATAATAACATTTTCAATGATGCTGAATGATTCCGATTCGTCTCGACGAGAGGATAACAATGGCTGCAATAGATGCCTGAAACTGTTGCGTGTTATCGCGTTTAAAGCCTGTCGGAGAAAGTTTCGAAAGCTCATGTATCAAAGATTTAAGAATAAAGTCGCAATTTATACCATTGAGTTAAACGAAATCACGTGTCTTGAAATGACTTCTTACTTAGGACCTTAGCTTATTCTTGTATTGAACCCTTTAATTTTCACTGATAAATGAAGCACTTCAAATCCCTAATTTTTATTATATGACATGTGACAAATATCGTAGTAAATCATAAATTTATATTTGATAGGACTTGAAGCAAGTACTAGTAATGGAATCGGAATCCAGACGCAAGGGCCCTAGGAGCCCAAGCGCTGATTCAGACGACTCCTCGCATGCTAGAAGAAGAAGGAAGTATGATCGATCGCCGTCTCCGAGACGAAGCAGATATCGCAGGTCGCGATCTAGAGACAGAAGATCTCGTTCGAGTTCCAGAGACAGAAGACGGAAGGAGTCCAATAGATCGCAAGACAATTGGAAACAACCTCCTCCATCTCAATCCCAGAGTTCTGTACCGAATCCAAACAATTCTACCGGTTATGTTTCAGCAGTACATAATCAATACCAGGTATAAATAGTTTTATAGATTGTTGGACTTATATATGAATAGCAGTGAGAGATATGAAACTATATATCTTGTTAATGTATTTGTATTGATTGATTTTATATTGTACATCTTGTAATTTATTGGTTCCTTTTTTTTTTTTACAGGCACCCCCACCAAACACGAGTCAGCCACCACCACCTATATCTGCTTACAATCAGGGATATAACAACTATGGTTACAACTATGGCACGGGTTATGACTACAGTTATCAGCAACCTACTGGCTATCGAAGTGTAAGTTCTATATGAAAAAAGATTAATATAATTGGTGTCCTAGTTTTATATAGAGGAGGGAAAAAGGATTAATTATATATGGTGTTGAAATAATATGAACATTGGAGAACTATGCATATGCAAATATTCAAGCAAAGCATGTCCTCTTGAGAATTTTAAAAATTATGCACACATTTGCAAAGCATCCCGAAAATAATCGCGCCGATTATGATTTATATTTGGTAATGTTCTTATTCGTTTGGAACGTTACAATTATATTTCCCTGAACCACGACTGTGGATTCCTTAGTAAGTATAACATCCGCGTTACTTATTTTATTTATATCAACATTGGAAACCTATAATATTGGCCAGATCGTTACATCTCTTCAAGACTTCATGTATTAGCCAAAGTCCTCATTTGAGTACCATCCAATAAAGGTAAGGGTCGATAAGAATGCCATTGAACCACTCGAGATTGGTTGCTCGTATTTATTCTGTTAGGATTATCCACCACCCAACTGGCAGGGAAGTCAAGTGTCGTATAACAATCAGCAAGCACCACCGCCTCCATCATTGACGCCTCAACAAGAATCGTCAAGGCCGATTGACAGTGGTTCTTCCGGTTTAGTGACATCTTTAACAAGACCTGAGGATGTCAAGAAAGAAGGTGTGCGACATTGTTTTTATTTTATAAATATCTAAATTAATGTTAATACGCTCATTTAATGAACATACTAATCTTCGCATATTTGATAATGAAAAAGTCTACATTTCTTTACGCAATCTTCAAACTTTCTTTAAATTGAACATTTAGCAGCAATCGCAGCTGAAGTAAAACAACAGAAAGCGACATTGGCTAAACAACGAGAGGAATATGTTCTAAAATCTGCTACGCTGCAACGTGAACTGGAAATTCTGCGTCAACAGTGCGACGAGATAGGCAAGGAGGGTGGACGCGAAAATAATCGAATTATAAAAGAAAATCAGAAATTGCAGGTAAATAATATATATGATTTTGGTGGTGCATTTTTTGTGGCTAACATTAATCTCTGAATTAAATGTACAGGTCGAGATACAAAATAAAATGAAATCTATTCACAATGTCATCGATATGCTCACTGGTATCATTGGTGACGAAGTTACTGTGGATGACCTGAAGAGCAAGTTTAAGTTAGAATTAAGTAAGCGTTCGAGAAGCCCGAAAGAAGATTTTCCGAAAGGAAAGTCTCCTTCGCCTGATAGATCGTCGGCTTCCGATACAGATAAGGAGTCCAAAGCGGAAAGAGATATTAGGGAGAGAAGATCATCAGAGGATAAGCCAATGTACAATTTCGTTCACTACGATCCCGAAATGCATTGGTGTAAAGTCTGCGATATCTTTCCTAAGACAGCAAAGGAATATTTAAATCATCTACATAGCAATGAGCACAAAGAGGCTTGTTTAGTAAGTAGTATTTTTTAGTAATAACAATCGCGTAACATAAAACAGAATACATTCTTGAAATATTTGAATGTTGGAGAAAATAAATTTAGAGGTTCTTTTATGAATAATACTTGTTACTAGAACAGGTAGAAGAAAAAAATATATACATATTTCTTTTTATATAATGAAAGAACAAAAATGGATTTAATTAAAGCTGTGTATATATTTGTAGTTCAAACTATATTTGTAACTGGATGATATATTACACAGTAATGATCACAACAAGCAGGTACTTGGTACATACTGTAATTTTTTATGTACCATATATATATCAATATTTATAAAAGAAAAGAACCAGTACCGAGTTTCTTGCATCTAGATATCAAGCCCGTTTTTACTATTTATATTCTATTCTATATAATAGGAACGCAAGATTGTTGATATGCCATGGCATGAGCGAAATGCTGAAGGAACAGAAAAAGAAGTACCCTATTATCCCGGACTGCCGACGAAAAGAACACCTATCAAAGGTAAGATCAATTACAGTGGACAATTACTAATAGAATATAATTCCGTAGCTTGTGCACAGAATAACTGTGGTGTTCGGTATGTATTGAAGAAATCAACACAATCATGAGTTGTTTGAAAATTTGTTTGCCCTAAGTAAGTTACAACTTTCGTGATATCCTCGAACATGTGATGTTGTCGAAAACGTTAAAGCCAATAATTTTAATTTATGTTATACAATATGTGTGAAAAACATATTGTATAAAAGTCTATCAACCGTTTTGTCGGCAGCAAATTTTCTAGCAACATCGCAAACACCACAGCGATGCATTGGATTTTAGCTGGATTCAAGAAGCACACTTTCCGAGCGACTTTCAATCAATGTCACTTTATTGTGTCACCACATGTCTCTAATTTTATTTTTTGCAACTATATTTTACACAATTTAGGTATGTTCGCAACTATCTTCAGGACTAGATCTATATATATCAAGATCTTATAGTGGAGTGCATTACTCAGGAAAAAGTAATGACATATAAGATAATATATATAAAGTATTTTGTGTTGTTGCTTATATAACTGAGATATATGTACATGTATGTGTAAGTTTTGGTGAAGTTATGCGAAGAAAAATCTATCACTATGATTTATATTGAAAAGATGTGTATTATCTTTTTTCAATATATTATATTAATTTATTTATGCAACAAATTGTATCAACTGTTTGTAAAATATACTGCAAATGATCTTTTAGACATAAACTATGTCAATACAGTTATCATATAGTAGAAAAAAAATTATTCAACAGTAAACGAACACTTTAAATTTTGGGAATTGTATTGAAAACAATTATTGCAGTATATTCATATGAAAATATAATGTACATTAATTTATCTAACTATATATACTTATATGCATTATTATTTGTATAATGTAGATAATATTTTTGTGAGAGAAATAAAACTGATTTTTTCTTCCTTCCTTCTGTTTTTCCACAGATCATCGTGGGACTAAAGAAATTTAATATAATCTGTACTTTTTATCGAACACATCTTTTAATATATTATTTTTGTTTTCAGTGACATGAATGTTTCGTGGCAGAATATAAGGTCATTCTTTATGAACTTACAATGCTTACCTGCTTCAAAGCTTAAATAATGCTAACTGTTGGAATATTTGATTATAGGGCTACAATTCTTCAGTGCATCAACAGCTTGGTATTGCAAACTCTGCGAATCCTGGATAGGAGATCTTCATTGTGCCAGTCTACACCTGAAGTCTAAACGTCACTCTGAAAACTTTTCCGTAAGTGATCTAAACATATGATATTTGAACAATACAATATCAAGGGTTGGTAAAAGATTATCATATTAATAAAATAAAATTTAAATAAAATTATAATTACAAATTATTCTCGAAATAATTTCTATTAATCAAGGTAGTCATCTAAAAGAGTTAATAATTTAAAATTTAATAAGAAGTTGAGAGATAGATCTTGCACCAACACGACATATTTGATACAAATAATTTATTTGAATAATGTACCGTTTAGCGTTTCGTGGAGCAAAATCCACATTGGGAAACTGATTGGATGGCTGATCGAGAGAAGGCATTCTCTGAAGAAAAGCATAAGCAAATACAATTGGAGTTGCAAAAACAGAAAGACGATGATCCACCGGCAAAATCGAAGAAGTCTAAAAAGAACAAGAAAAAGTCGAAGAAGGCCAAGAAACGTAGAAACAGAAGCAGTGCTAGTGATACGTCTAGCGAGTCAGAGAACTCAGATACTGAATCCGATCAGGATACCACCAAGAGTATACGCGTGGCGATGCGAAACAAGATGAAGGCTTCGACACAGGCAATCCTTAATGAGGAAATAGATTATCAGCGTTTAAAATTGAAGGGGCACAATTGGTCGAAGGTACCGCAGATGAATCAATCACCGCTGCCCGAACAACATCCGTCAGATGCGGATGATAGGCAGCTTCTGAATTCGATCAGGGATAAACTGAAAGCCAAGCAGGAAGAAGAGATGAAGAGTCGCAAAGTAAATCAAGAGAAAACGATAGAAGAAGAGGAAGATCTACAGCAGGAGAGCTATTCGAAGAAATCTGAGGACTTGGAGGCTTGGGGACCGAAGGAACCGCCTAAACCATTCTGGATAAAGAAGGAAGAGGAAAAGCAATCGCAGCAACCAATCACAAATAAGCCAATCGAGCTGCCGAAACCTGAGGAGATGCCGAAGCCACATATGGGATTCTGGACGAAGCAACAAGTAAATATGACGGTGAAGCCGCCTGAAAGTAAATCAGTGGACAAAGAAGATGAGAGGGATCGCGACAGAGATCGCTACAAGGACGATCGCGATCGCAAGTACAGCAGCAGATACGAGAGAAGAAGCCGGCGGGACAGGGATCGTGACAGGGATAGAGAAAGAGATCGGGATCGCGATTACTATGACGATCGTCGAAAGAGAGACAGGGACAGAGATAGCAACGATTCTCCGAGACGTGATAGAAATTGGCGCGACAATAGCCCGAAGAGGAATTATGACAAGTACAGCAAGGACAGACGGGGAGATGACAATTCATCGAATGATGAATCCAAGTTTGAAAAGAAATCGAGCGAGTCCAAATCGAAAAAAGGCAACGTTCTGAGCAAGAAATCCGCGCCGCAGGTGGCGGCCAAGGGCAAGTTACCCTTCATCGGCAGGTTACCCTTGTTCAAGAAGAAGGCCGAGGAGCCCAAGTTGCCGGAGAAAGACATTACTCCGTTGCCCTATCAACAGAGCAAGTTTGAGGATACGCCAAAGGTGCCCAACGAAATCATCAATCCGCCAGGTGTTGTACATATCACCAAGCTAGCCACTCCGTTGAATTTGAATAATAACGGCAGCGCGGCGATTTCAAACAAGACTATTAACCAGCCTATGAAAATCTTAGTGGCACCTCCGCCGCCCGTGTTAAACGAGAGCAAACCTACACCACAAGTGGTGGACATGGAGATAGATGATCAGTCCGAGGAGACGGTTATAGAGGAACAGCCGATAGTGGAGCAACAAAAACAACAGCAAACGTCGAGCGTGTCAAAACTGCCGCTACCCCCGCATCCACCACCGCCATTAAATAGACCACCGCCCAGCTTCACGCCAAATCAGCAACAACAATCAGCCGTGCATAATAGACCGCCGCCGGCACCGGTGCAAACTACACCACCACAATTTACACCGAATCGACCGCCCCCGCCGTTCATGTCAAATCCACCGCCGTTTGTTCAGGCACCACCGAGGTTTCCTCCTCGTCAGGCTGTACCGCCGCCTGCTGCCTTCATGACTACTCAGCCGCCACCGATACCGAACGCCGCGGGTTTTGTGCAAAACCATCCGCAGAATCCACCTCCACCGCCGCCGCCATTACCGTCATCAATGGATTCGAGCGTAACGGTTGCGCCGCCGCACTCCGATGTATCTGATATACCGGAGCCATCGGAGAAGCGTCCGGCGGATCCGAGCATTCCGCTGCCGGATGATCTGCAGGAGGCTCTAAACATAATTTTCCCTAAAGAGGAGACAGCCGAGAGCAAACAGCAGCAGCAGAATCAGCAGGAGTCTAGTCTTATGTATTCATCGATGTACAGTATGTTGGGTTGCGTTGGATATGGACCTGAATACATGGATCAACCACCACCCGAAATTATGCAGGAGGCGGAAACGGAGGCAGATACTCAACCCGGGCCTGATGATCTTCGCATGTTGGGCATCGACGAAGGAGATACGATCCTATAAATTACTCGCAAAGATTTCCACACTGGTGGTAGAGAAGATTGATCCACGAGATTTGTATTAATGAAAAGACTCTTGCTAATAATTTACACGCATGAAGATTTCCTATTCTGCATTAGAAAGAGTAGGTCCGTTTATCGTTGATCCGTCATTTCTCACTCATCTCGACATGTCGTGTGATAAGTACTTCATCAGTAACTATCAATTACGTAACTATCTTAAAAAACAAATATGTGATAAAAAAGTAAAGAAAAAAGGAAAAAAAAATGGTCCTGAAATACTGTAAGTACAAGTGATGCGCACGGTCTGTAAAGATTACTTAACGATATGCAGCAAAACGGATATTGCCCATTAGATAGTAATATTTGTTATCTCGTTAGTATCTCAAGATTTTTTTCCGTCTTGTAACATGTTCCATGTATTTTTTTTTTTCTTTTTTTTATATTCATAATACATTATGACACAATTAAATGTTAATATCAGCAAACATTAGCAACAATTAATATATGATTGCCGTCTTAAGTTTCAATCGTATATTAACAAAGTGTATCACAAAAAATACTCGTTGAAAATCTGCAAGTAATCTGGACAATCTAGCGTTATCGGATGTTATCAATGCGTTATGTACATCAAAGGACGAAAAGTGTAATATTAATAAAAAGAACACACAATGTCATACATCGTGTATCAATATGTATTAAATATTATTCTTTAATATTTGCAAATTGGTAACTTTCAAGTTTGCGCTATATATATATAATACAACTCCAAACATAAAACAAACTTTGTTGACACTTCAATTGAGATTTTTATATCAAAACTCATATAAACGAATTGACCGCACTACACCACATTAAAGACTGTTACATTTGAAGTTACCTTATAAAAATATAAATTAAATATAAAAAGATAACATAAAAATTTTGAATAATTAAAATTAAATAATAATATAATTGTTACACTCGCAATTACTAAAATATATATAATTTTATCATGTTTATATTATGCCATTGAATCTTGATACTTCAAATATAGTAGCTTTTAGTATGCACTAGTGCGGATTGAATTCGCTAATAGAGACTCTTGAATATTGGAATGTAAAGTTATTGGTGGTACATACAACATTTTTTGAAATTAAACATTCTTTTTATAAATAATTACTTCCAATCTCTTCGTTACTCTCTTTAGATCTTCTTTTAAAATTCTTACGTTAATCTTACAATCGGTTTCTTAAGATAATATCACATCGCCTTCGTTTTTTTTAAAGTCACAATATATCGCACCTAAGAATCTCTATTGATGCGTAATTGTTGAAACTATCGAAATACATGTCACATGCCACTAAATTATTAAATATCCATTTCCATCCCGAATTTTTAGTACTTTCAAAAATTTCAACAATGATCGTCTTATTAATTGTATTTTTATGAAAACATTTAATCTACCACAATGTACTACAATTAGCTTATATAATATAATTGTGTACAATACTGGAATATATATAAACTTCTTTCGATTAAAATTAGTTTACAAATGCGAGAGTAACAATGTAATGTTCATAGTCATTGACGTTAGTACCAAAATCGCTGTTGTTAATTGTAATAGGCAGAGTATCATAGTATGATAAAATGCACATACAAGTGCATATAATTATTTAATTCTATGTAATATAATTAGTGTTTTACATCCTTGAATAATGTATAACAAGTCATATGTGTGTCCAGTCTCTAATTTCCAGTCGTGTGGAATGTAAAAACTATTGTGGAATAAGTGTCAATTGTTTGCATGATTTCCGCATGCTACAGACGTGAGTAAAGGTCTACTTTAAGATTTTGATTCGCGCATTTACGTATACGCGATGGGAAAGGAGGAATATGATTCGTAATACAGTATACTTAAACGATCACGTTGTACCCGATGAATCTGTATTTCAGATCTGAAGTACTAGGCCTGCGCTGGAAATATTGTCCCCGCCACCAGCCGTCTGACTAGCTTCTGTGCAAACCAATACGGGTGCGACACATACCTGCATAGAAATATTCTCCTGCTCCGTTTTCAGTATTTCGTCCCAACAAGATACTGGTTTGTCGATGTTCAATAATATTCGCGTACCGTCAACAATAGACGTCGAGAAACTATCGTCCATGATCAGCGTCGCTTTCTTCACATCGACCTGTATCAAGATGAAAGTATTTTAAAACCATCTGATATAGGATAATTCTGATATAAACGTGACATACTTTAAGTATAAATGCTATAAATGCCTAACAACACGATTTCTAATCTTTTTCGAAAGAGAAAGTTGCGGATTTGGTATCTATAACTTTATAATCTAGATGAACATTAAATATTTACAAATAGTTTCTATAAATCATATTTCGCTTCATATTTATGTAAATTCTGAATGATATACTTACGTTACTTGATGCGCATACATGTCTATGTGCAGTCAGCGATGCCTTGGCCGCAGCGGCCATTGTATTTTTCCAGATGGAATTCTTGACGGTGAATATAGCTTGGTACGCCAGCGTGTGCACGTGAATCCTTGTGAGCTCCCTAGCGTCCGTGATCGACTTGCCTCTTAAGCGTATGAGTTTAAATAATGTTCTCATCTGATCCAACACCGTCGCAACTCTCGGAGTCGAATCGGCGACCAGTGAAATGTTGCCGTAATACATAGTATTATACAAATTCGCTATTTCTTGCTCGTTCATTCCCAAACTATCGGCGAACGGAACCACTAAATCGCACAGCTCGAAGAGCAATTTATCTTCGGCGAATGAAGCCATTTCAAAGTGGATTTTGGTAGAACTCGACCGTTCCAACATTTGTTTCTTCACTTTCAGCAGCAGATTCTTCCGTTTATCTGTAAAGTACGCAATTCCGCAACATGAAACTTGTTGATTTAATAGAGACTCGTGGACAGAAAAGAAATTTTAGCGATAGAAAAATTACCTTCTTGAAACGGATAATTGTCCATCATTTGGAGGCCACTGACTACTAGTAAATCGGGATCATAGGTCCTCAGGACTTTGTCAAAGGCATCGAATGAGCTGATCGTTGGATTATTCATATCGTTGTGGATAATATATCTAAGAAAAAGCACATAAAAAATAGATTGCGTTATTCTGTATAATTTACCCAATTGTATATATTTCATCCATCAATACATACCTGTTTGCTCTAGCGCTAGAATAAGGACCCCACACCTCGCCATGCTTATATTCCAAAATGAGGTGAATGTCGTCGCGTTTTACCTCGCCACCTACGACATTTATCATCTGTGGAATCATCTGATGTAATGACTTGGTCAGCTTAGCCGCAAGAGTCACATCGCATCCCTCTCGCGCGAATCGCATCCCCATAACTGCAGCATTTCCTCCAATTGTCGAGTAAGACGAAGAAAATGAACGCGCCTTCGAAACCAGTTCATCGAATAAAGTTCTGTTCGCCATGTAACGCCTGCAAAAAAAGGTTTTTGTCATCTTTAGCAAGATATCAAGGGTTATAATAACATGCAATGTATAATGTAATGATTTATGACTAACGCAAAAAAAAACCTCTCTTTTGAAGCAATTGTCTTCTGATTTTAAATAATTGAGAACACATATATATGGTTGCCCAAAAACTAAACTACATTTACACACTTATTTAACAAAATGAGTTTAAAATAAGCTTAGATTGATTTCATTCAACCAACAACTGCTCTATAGCAATCTACATTTTTTCTCCAATTAATTACAATTAATTCCTATCTATAAGTATATATTTAATTGATATATTTTAAATAATATCAAGACATATTTTAATAATTAATATACTAAATTATTAAATACATGATTTTAATATGCTTATATATTTTTTATATGTAGAATATGGCACTGTAAAAATAAACTGGAACTCTCAGGACAGAACTTACTCGGCCGCAGCTCCATGGCGAAAGTAATAGGCGAAGCTCTTGAGCAGTTCGAGCTCGGTGTTGATCTCATCAAAGTGTTCAGGCCGTCCGACCTCGTTCGAGTATTTTAACAGGTGTTTCGCGTCGACGAAGACGTCAGTGCACACGCCATAACCTATAGCGACTTTTGGCTTCCTAGTGATAACGTGCTTGTTCTCCAGTTTCTCGAGGCCGTGCAACAGGGTCAACAATCGTTTCTGCAGGACATTCTCGTTGTTACGATAATAAATCGCCGCGAGCACGATCAGCACGGTGAAAAAGGTTCCGAATCTTAACCCCCTCTTGTACCCCATGCTGCATACGAAACTTATTATTGTACACCAACTGGCGTATAGGCAAATTCTGTATAGAAGCCTAATCAGCCATACAGAAGAAGAAGAAGAAGAAGAAAACTTATTGTTGTACGCGTGCAACTACAGACAGAGAGAAGCCTCTCTGCTACAGATCACGCATAATCTTCACGAGCAACTGAGGAACAGAGCTGCCAGCTGACGAACTGACCACGCACAATTGATCATTGACCGCGATGTATGCGTACGTATATCGCGCAATATGCGAGAGATAATGAGGACATATAGAGATATCTGATTATTTGATAATGGCTCTGCGACGAGGTCAATTCGCATATTCATTATTCATTGCACAATAGCCACTAATATACATTTAATTTGAGATTAATTTTCTTAATTTTCTGAACATATGTCAGTTACTATTTGTTGTATCAAAAAATTCTGTGCACCTTCCATCAAGTTTGCTCTCACACAGATAAGCATTCTATTTTTAAATAAATCTTTTCATATATAGAATATTATACCAAAACTACTTAAAAAATTCATGAAAATTTGCAATGGCTGTTTGTAGATTATTTAGTGAGCGATGAGAAAGAAAGAATATTTATATTGTGATAATAATATTAATTTAAATCTCTCTCTCAAATGTTTCTTTAGTATAATTATATAGAATAATGTAATATTTCTTTTATTATAATGATTTATTTAAAAAAATGATATACTTATATTGTATATTGCATATAATTAATCTTTCTATTAAATATTTTTATATCTGCTAAGTACATACATGTAGTGTATAAAAAAGTCTATATTGTAAAAATTTGCTTATATATAGGAAATATTTTCACATCAGACACGCACACAAATACACACACACACACACACACACACACATATATATCTTTCTTCAAAGATATTTTATAGTTACATAGATATAAATTTCATAGCTTATATATCACCAAGCAAGTATTATAAAATCTAAAATATAGATATCAGTCATTATTAAAAAAATGTAATAAAAAATAAACTATCGGAACAAAAGAGAAAATATTATACAATTATATATCGCGCAATCACACATAATACATATAAAAAAATGTTTAAAAAATATGCCATTATTTAGCTAAAATATATACCATAAAAAGTGTATAAACAAAATTATAAATGTAATTAGCAATAATCTAATTATAAAAATAATTAGAACGATATTAAAATATCAGTTATAATATAAATGATCTTTTACAACAACTGCAATAACATTTCTATAAAAGAAAAAAACATAAAGTACTTTTTAATTTATCCACAGCAAACATCTTTCATTATTTCAATCGTCTCAATAGCTTATGAGATCTCGCTATTTTCTTTGAGGAACTTGTATAGAACCAATAATTTGGCGAATTTTATTCAACAGTTTCATATTTGATATTAGTACTTGTAAATATAATATTCATTTAAAAGATATAGATTTAACTCAGAAAAGAAATTTGATATCTCATGATAATCTCATTTGTATGAAATTTTTTTTCGTTAGCTTTCTACAATCTACGTTCCAGTCTCTCGAGAGAAGAGATTAATTTGATTCTCCAAAAATTCTCCATGTTTCTCTCATTCCTTGTTTTTTGTATGGAGACGCATGTGTTTCTTCAGGTTGTCCAGTCGATTACATCGACGGTCGCAGTAGTCGCACTTATAAGGCATCAGATTGCTGTGCACGACTACGTGGCCGTTCAGATGACTGATTTGCTTGAAACGCTTGCCACAAATGGTGCAGGCATATGGGCGCTCGTTCATGTGCGCGGATGAGATGTGCGTCTGCAGATTCGTTTTCCTGACGAACGTGGCCTTGCATACATCGCATTCGAACGGCCTTACATTCGCATGGATCGCTAGATGCGACTTGAGCACGTTCTTGTGCTTGAAATTCTTCTCGCACAAATGACACTGGAACGGCCGTTCATCGTTGTGCACCTTCTTGTGCACCGACAGATGCGCTAGCTGCTTGAACATCTTGGCGCAGATCTCGCACTGATAAGTACGACCGTCTTCATGCGCGGCGCTCACGTGACGGCGCAGAGTGTCTGCCAGAGTATACCGTTTGCCGCAAATCTTGCAGCAATACGGACGCTCGTTGGTATGCGTCAGCAGATGACCATTGAGATTGCGCTTCTCCAGGAAACGCGCGCCGCATACGTCGCATTGATACGGCTTCTCACCGTTATGTACGTACATGTGCTTCTTCAACGAGTTTGACAAGCTGAAGCGCTTCGAGCACACGGTGCACTGGAAGCGGCGCTCGCCCGTATGGACTAGTATGTGTGATTTTACATGGCCGGCTTGCTTGAAACGTTTGCCGCATATCTTGCAGTCGTACTGGCGCTCCTGCGTATGCGTGAATATATGCCGCTCCAGCACGCTCTTCGTCGTGAACACCTTCTTGCAGTTGTCGCATTCAAACAGACGATAGACGTCGCGGATCTTAGACGTCGTCGTCGTCGTTGTTGTCGCGTTACCTTTATGCAAATGCGCGTGTTGCTTCAGCGAGTCTAGCGAGTCGAATTTTACGCCGCACACAGTGCACTGAAACGAGCGGTAATCGTGATGCGTCAGCGAGTGCTGGCTAAGATGACCCAGCTGCTTGAAACTCTTGTTGCACACGTCGCATACATATGGCCGTTCGTTTGTGTGCGACCGCATGTGCCTCTCCAGCACGCTAGGAAAGCTAAACTTTTGCTCGCAATATGTACACTGTAAGGTGGATTGTGTTTTCGACACGCCCCGACTCTCCGCAGACAATTTTCGTCTACCGGTATGACTCGAGATCTTGGCAGTCTTGCTATTAGAATTTTTTGTATTGTCCAGCAATGCGTCGCAATTTTCATTTGTTGTCTCGGCATCGGATAATTCGTTATGTGCCGCTCGAATCTCGGATCTTTCCTTATTGGATACAGTCGTTACCGCGTCAGCGGCATTGCTTCTGGTACTTCTTCTAACTGGTACCTCCTCTTCCTCGTCAGCTAATTTACCTTGCCCATGCGACTGTTTCATGTGCTTCGCATATAATCTTGGAACACTGAATGTTTTACTGCACAGCTTACATCGGAGAGCCCGTTGCGTTTTATGAGTTCTCATGTGATTCTTTAAATGTCCCAGTTTCATGTATTGCTTTTGGCAGTATTTGCACTTGAGAAATTGCATATTCTCGTTTTTCAGTTCATTTTTTCCTACTTCTATTTCACCTTTATTCGTTGAATTTGTTGCGCGCATATTGCTCGTGAGAGATTCATTCTTTATATTGACAAAACTAAAGCCATTTACGTCGTTGTTTCTCGAAAATGCCTTTTGACTGCATGTATCTTGTACGTCATCATTTTCTTCACAATACTGAAACATTCAAAATAATAACTAATCAGAATATAATGTTATATTGATAATAATACAATATTATTCAGCAATTATTACATTGGTACTATTCGATGTCTTCTGCGTGTCTTTTGTTGTTGCAATTATATCTTTATTTTCTCTATGTGACAAGTGTTCGATCCATTCTTCCTCTGTCCATAGACTTTCCGTATCTTTTTCTATACCGAAGTTTTGAAAGTTTTCGCGTACGTCTCGTCCAAATAATATGTCGCATGGAACTTTACTATTCTGACTGTGGTATGTTGAATTGTGAAGAATCTGTATGAAGTTCAGTCCTTCACACCAGGTTTTGGTAGGATTCTTTCTCATCCAGGATTCGAGCAAGCTCTTAAAATCCCTGCAGCTAACTTCACATTTAGGTACATCCCCATGCAATATGAGGGAATCGTTCCACAGTGAACGTAACTCATGTACAACTTGTTCAGCAAACTTACGTCCATTACCACTCTGTAACACTTGTGGTGCCCCTATGATCGCCAATACATCTAACAAATTCTTTGCAACTTCTTCAGCCGTATTGTTGCAAAGAGCTCTTAGTACAACAAACTTGGATGGCTGATTTTCATAAACAAAGAAATATTTATAGCGAAATGTTGGTTCTACTGTCATTTCTATTATATCAATGCGACCTCTATTATACAATCTATCAGAACCCTCAGTCAATTTTTTGGGCGACTGATTTAATGAGCCTGCTTGACAAGACTGAAAACAAATAGTATAATTTAACTATTTATATATTAGAAATATTATACACACACATATAGTTATATAAAGATTAAAACTTACCAATAAATGGCTGTTTTCTTGTTTAACTTCCTTCTCTTTAGATGAAACTTGCAAATGCACAACTGTATTTTGGACAGATTGTGAGTTCAATGTGCTTTCAAAGAATTCTGCTTCCTGTTTTACAAATACAAAACTACGTTGATTTCGTTCACCTGGCAGCAAATGATCCAAAGAATTTCGCACATATGCATTTTGTGGCATCCATTCTACACTTAACGGCATTTCTTTATTCATTCTTATTTTTGTCATGTGTCGTGTCGAACGTTGTTTTCCTTTTTGCTACTCGATGCTACTATTTCCTACAATCATTTATGCAATTTATTGAACAAGCCGATTTCATTTTTAAAAAACGGCAATTTATAAAGCTTAATCACAGAAAATGTATTTTTTATTGTAAAATATATGGGTTTAATACAACAATTTTTACTCTTTTGCATATTATCTCCATATTTTCGGCACGTCAAGACTTTCTTAATTAGAAAGATTAGCAAGCCGGCATAATATAAATGTTAATTGATTCTCGAGTGAATCATTAACCTGTAATATGTCACAATTCCAACTTACATCAATTCCTAAAATCACATTCGTCTAATAAAATTACACGAATGAATGTCCCGTATTCTCTCGCATTTATTCCACTTTATTTCGACAAATAAATCACGATACGTCCGATTTTGTGCGTAAAGCTCGGATATGTCAATTTTTTAGCGGTTGGCATAGTATGAAATTTATTGTCTACATCTCAAGGCAAGTCTTCATGACATTCCGTCATGAAAGTTGATTAGCTAGAGAGGTAACTGCAATATTACTCCGTTTGACATTTGACAGCTGATAGCACTTTCGTGTTGTATATATTTTTCTTCCCCCCTCTTCTTTCATGTATTTAGATACTCTTGCATTATAATTGTTGATTAAAAAATCCAAAATTATTTTGGTGTTGGTTGATTTCGAGTAATTCGAGTTTCATACCTTTATGCATGTGAATATAATTTCTTTTTATTTTACATTTTGATATTTTGTTCTATTGTATTCTTATATGTTTATAATTTTATAATCCATGCGAGTGAAAAGTTTAAAATTCTATGAAATTTTGTGTGCTTAAGGCAACGAAGTAATTTCATCGTTGATTGAGTTTGGATCCTGGATCTCTCTAATCTTAACGCTATTCTACATTGCTAAAATGGCACAAACATTAGATGATGCGCTACTTGCTGCTAGCAGAGCCGTACAATCTGACAAAAATGGCCAATATAAACAAGCCTTATATTATTATGATATTGCTATAAAACTTCTTACTAAATTGGAATTGGATGACATGTATAAAGAAAAGCTTTCAGATTACCGTGATAGGATGTCATCGATACAGCAACTTAGTAAGTTTGATGAAAACATAGAAATTTATTGTAAGCGTGAATTGTACAAATTATATATATACATAACGATAATTTGTAATACTTTTAGTTCACGAAGAGGAACAAAATAGACATAAGGCAGAACCTTTACATCAGTCTGAGTTACAGAGATGTAAATTTCTCATGAACCAAGCATTGGATGCGGATGAAGCAGGTTTAAAAAATATTGCAATAAAGTTATACACTGATGCTGCTGAACTTGGTCTTAGTGCAGTAAGTATAACTTTCGATTAAAAACTATTATATAAAATTGTTAAATTGATTCTGGCATATGTATGTTATTTAATGATGTATCTCACAATCAGTCTATAATATATTGCAGAAAACTATTGACACAGATGTAAAAGCAAAGTTAACAAATCTTGTTAGAGTTGCTGTTGAGCGGGCAGAGTCATTGAAAGGAATAAAAACTACCAATGATAATAGTGTTATGAAAAGTCTTGCTGAACTACCATCTGTGCCAGAAACTAATTTTCCGAATACTGAACAGTCAATACAACTTGAACAATCAGTAAATGTCCCATCAGTTGCTCCAGGTAATATAAATAATATATTACAGAGGCAAAAGGCATATATGAGAGAAACTTCAATATATCTATTATTTGAATAAATTTTAGTAAGAAATATTAAACCTTCGCTTCATCGGGAAAGCAGTGCTCATCTTAAAGTAACTGGTGGTAATACCAATTATACTGAAGAGGAGAAAAGAGTATTGCTTCACAGCTCTCACATAAATGACCATGAATTTGTACCATTTATGAATATCGATCTAGCTGAAAAGTTCCAATATCATATTCCATTCACTGACAAGGATGGATTATTGGAACTAGCACCAAAGCAAAAGCCTGACTTTGCTGGATGGTGTCGGCCAGAAGAATTATATTCTGATCCTAAAATGGTCATTGGTCATCATGTTGATTATTTCAGCATAAAACAGACTGTTAGTAACATGATCATTAATAATAATGATGTATAATAATAGTATAATATATCAATGCATAGAGAGTATGTGTGCACACTTATTAAACATATATTTTTACAATATTAGTTTCAAACTTAAGAATACTGCAATGAATATATTTTTTTTGAATATGTATTTGGGTTAATATTTAATTGTCTCCCATTGTGTTTTAGGTAGTTTCCGATTGTTCATTTGTTGCTTCGCTCGCTGTGAGTGCTCAATATGAGAAAAAATTTGGACGGAGACTTATAACATCCATTATTTATCCCAAGAATAAACACAAGGAGCCTATATATAATCCGTTCGGTAATTATTCTCAGTTTATTAATTTTAAATGATTTGAGTTGAATGGTAAAACATAAGAGTATTATTATTTGTGTATGTTCCATTAAGCTTAAAATGCTTATATTAAACTACATGGAGAAGATACATACACATCTACAAGCACTTCACATATTTCTATTATATTTTTGTTCATGGCTTATTTTTTATACAAACACAATTTTAAATCTGTACACTAATAATAATATTATCTTTCTTTACATTGAATTTATACAACTAAAAGATGCTTTTAAGGAGCATATAATTCATTCTTCATATGAGAATTTGTTGTGTATAAAAATAAAAAAAAATGCATGTATTTTATTAGATTTTATTATATAATATATTAGAAATGATAAACACACACATGTAATATCAGGAAAATACATGGTGAAACTACACATCAATGGCATTCCACGTAAAGTAATAATAGATGACCTTCTGCCTGTAAGCCGATACAACCAATTACTCTGTTCCTACTCTAGCAATCGTGGGGAGCTATGGATTTCTTTGCTCGAAAAGGCTTATATGAAAGTAATGGGCGGTTACGATTTTCCTGGATCAAACAGTGTAAGCTTTTTTACAACATTCAATTATTAATCGTTCTATAATTCTATTTTATTAATTTGTTTGATTTACTTTTTATTAATATATTACACACATTTGTTTCTATATAGAATATAGATTTACATGCCTTAACTGGCTGGATACCTGAAAGATGGGCCATAAGACCAGATGAGGCAGATTTTAATAAGGATAATCTCTTTGATACATTACTATTACGACTTCATAAGGGAGATGTACTAGTCACTGTAGCCACAGGACAGTTATCGGACTTGGATACAGACCGTACGGGCCTTGTACCGAGTCACGCATATGCCGTTCTTGATGTGAAAAAGATTAATGTAAGTAAAATAAAAAAAGAAAACAATTATTCGCTTAATATCTGTTTTTTAAATGTGTTTCCTGACATAATGTAGATATACAATACAAATAACATTTCTGTTTTTCTTAACGTGTTATGCACTTGTAATTAATTTAGAAAAATAAAGCATTTAATTCAAATTGTATTAATATATATAGGGAGAAAGATTATTACAATTAAAAAATCCATGGTCTCATTTGCGATGGAAGGGCAATTATTCGGAACTTGATATAAAACACTGGACTGAAGATTTGAAGGAAAAATTGAATTACGACCCAGAATCTGCTTCAGAATTTGATAACGGCATTTTTTGGATTGACTACGACAGTATATGTCGATTCTTCGATGTATTTTATTTAAACTGGAATCCAGGACTGTTTAATTATACTTATTGCATACATCAGTACGTTATTTTTTTATTTTATCTGTATTATATATTACATAACTTTAACCACTCTCTTCTCATATAGAACAGCAATGGTGGTGTGTTCAGAGAATAATTCTATTTTATTACAGAATGTGGAAAGCTGGTATCGGACCTGTGAAAGATGTATATAATATTGGCGATAATCCACAATTTTCATTGGATGTACAAAGCAGAGGAGCTGGCGCTATTTGGATACTTCTTACAAGGCATATTACAGATATAGCAGATTTCCGACAAAATCAGGAATATATTACAGTTTTAATTTATCGCAATGACGGAAAAAGAGTATATTATCCATGTAAGCATATATTTGATATTTTCTTTTCAATTTTGTATTGTTAGCTATCAGTGATAAATATATGATAAACTATATTTAGATGATCCGCCGCCGTACATTGATGGTGTGAAAATAAACAGCCCGCATTATTTGTGCAAAATTAAATTCGGAGAGCAAAGTGATACAAAATATACTTTGGTCATATCTCAGTATGAGAAAACAAATACAATCTACTATACGCTTCGTGCATATGGAACATGTCCATTCATATTGCGAAAAATACCTCAATCGTATAAATATGAAGAGGAGGTACACCTTTCTTTTTTTGCTCTAATATTTTTCTAAAATATTTTCTAGATTCTTTCTCTAAATGAGTTTTTCTAGATTATATATATATTAACATGATCTTTTATAGGTAATAGGTCAATGGAAAGGCATTACAGCAGGAGGATGTGGCAACCATTCTACATATATGAATAATCCGCGATATCAAATAGTGCTTGAAAGCGCTAATAATAATAATTATTTATTAATTATTTTAAAAGGACCTAAACAATATCAAATAGGTTTTGACATTAATACCGTTGTATTAAATGACGTAAATGCAGCGACTGCATTTAAAACAAAAACTTCTGGACCATTTAGGTTCGTTCTTCTTTTTTAATATTTTGCACACATACATCTCTATAAAAAATATTTTTCGTTCATATTTTATAACAAAAACTTGTGATCCATCTTTATTTCTACTTACAGATCCGGATTTGTGTATTTGGAATTAGAAGATGTACCAGCAGGAACATATCATATTGTTCCCTCGACATACATACCTGGTCAGGAGGGACCATTCTTTTTAATCTGTAAATCTTCTTGTAATTTGCAGCTTCAACTTCTTTAGCAAATTAAATAAATTCTTGAAGAATAACTTTATGTTGCATCTATTAGCTATTCTCATTTTGTCTATACGTTTTGTGCTCATTTTCACTCAATTTTAATAGCGTTTTATCTTTAATGAAAATTTAATTATCAACGTTAGAGATATTTTGTTATATTTCTATTGAAATAACTTGACTTAAAATTTTTCTAAGAAAAGATTTGCTACTTAAAGAATATTTTTTTTGTTATGCATTAATTATTACATTTAATAATATTGATTCTTTCTGTTTATAGATAGATAATTATTTCCATGATAAGAAAGATATGTTTAAAAAGATATTTTGTAATATTAATTATTTTTAATAATGATTTTTCTCCTCTCTAATGTCGAAAATGATAAAATTTTAATATATAAATAATACGCGTGCATAAAAAATGTTCGAAAAAAAGAAAAATCGACTTTTAATCTAAAGAAAGTTAATGTGTGTAGAAATATGTGCCGATATTTCCATAATATAATAGCAGCTCTTGTTGTGTGTGTGTTGACTAATAAAGCACACATACATAAAACTTCCATTTAATAATGATATATAAAATTTAATTATATATATATATTAAATTATTTTAAATAAAACTGAATTCGTTATCTAAAGCATTTAAAATTGCATTGAAATTATACGTTGTACCTTACAATTTTTGTTATATAACTAAATCTAATTATTTTCATTACAAATGCGATATATCATAGTACATTGCCTTTTCGACGCTTTCTACGTACATCGAGTCACATGTAGAAAGAAATATATATATA